CCCGATGAGTCACTGGATGAAGAGGAACTTGAGGAGAAGGCAGAAGATGACAAAGCATTTACCTCACTCTCACTAGCCACCCCACCAGGAGACAGTGAAGTTGACGAAAAAGAGGCAAAAAATGCCAGGCTTTGTTCAAAGGCAGCCCGGTCCGAAGACGTCTTCATGGAATAGAACGGTACATGTTTCATGAACAGGACATGGCAGGCAACCCGGAGCCGGCGACTAACAGGATCATAATAGAGGTAACCTTTGAAGCGATCACTATAGCCGACGAATACACAACAAACTTTCTTAGGCGCCAGTTTGCTGCGTTCTCGACGTGGCAAAAGAACAAAGCAAAGGCAGCCAAACACCCGAAGACGGTCATAACGAGGATGACGATCATAGAGTTTATAAAATGGAGAAACACCATCCAGGACCGGAGTGACCTGCCGATTGATAAGATGAACAACAGTGTTAGCGGCCTCCACCCAGAAGTGAGCCGGAACACCAGATCTAAACAGGAGAGCGCGGGTGAGTTCCATAACGTGGCGGTTTTTTCTCTCCACCACTCCATTCTGTTCCGACACCCCAGGACATGACTGTTGAGAGATAATACCAGCCGAGCTATAGAACTGAAGGAGCTCATTTGAACTGAACTCTCCCCTTGGATCAGAACGAATGACCTTGACTGTCTTCTGAAACTGGGTTTGAATCATCTTAACAAAAGCCTGAGCATGATCACGGAGCTCAGACTTGTGCTTAAGAAAGTATATCCACGTATACCTGCTATAGTGATCAATGAAGAGAGCAAAATACAAGAAGCCATTTCGAGAGGGAGTAGGAGCGGGACCCCATAGATCCGTGTGAACCAGATCAAATGGAGCAGAATACGAGGTAGTGCTAGAGGAGAAAGAAATCCGGGAAGCCTTAGCCTCAATACAACTCAAACACGGAGGAGGAGAAAATGAGCCAGGATTAAATTTCACCGGCAGTAACTGAAGTTTAAACATTTGTAACAAACGAGTATCATGAGGGTGCCCCAACCGGCAGTGCCACAAATCCCAAGCTGAATTCCATACATCAGAACCGGATTTATTCCTAACAGAAAAACCAGAATTAAAAGCAGAGACAGAACCCCCCTAAGACAGCACTCGAAGCTCCTCCATCCGAGACACCTCCAGCTGAGATCCCATGACCAGTGCGAGAGACTCCCAAATGATCCTTCGAGTGCAGCGAGTCCAACACATAGACACGCCCAGCTTTATGCCCCCCGGCTGAGCTCCCTCCCCGTCATCAGGTCCTGCACCATACAACCATTATTGTTAAAGCGAATTTCACATCCATCCTCGGCTAGCTGGCCAACAGAAATTAAGATGGGAACCAAGCGGGGAACATGAAGAGTGTCCGAAAGATGGAGCTGGGGTTCAGACACCGAGCCAATGCCGGTAACTGGAAGAACTGCCCCATTAGCAACTTGTAACTGGCGGGAGGCCGGTTTAAGAGTGGAGAAGGACCCACGGCGGCTGGTCATGTGATTGTAGGCCGCGGAGTCAAGGAGCCAAGTACGAGAGTTACCTGTGGGATCACCTGTAGCAAAGGCGGTGCTCATAACATCTTGGAGAGCCTCATGAAGAAGTTAGGTGAGGTCCGACTTGGAGATGCTAGAAGCTGAGGAGGAAGAAGCCCCAGAGGACACCTCGGCAGTAGCAAAGGCAGGAGCAGGAGCAGGAGGGCCTGAAGAACGAGGACGGCGTCGACCACGTTGGCGACAATCACTCAGGATGTGACCGGGCTGTTTAAAGTAATTGCACCAATTTATCTTCTTACAAAAGGGTTGAATATGCCCGGGTTCCCGACAGTAGTGGCAAATACGGGCAGCAGGAGGACCTTGCCCATCAGAGGAAGAGAACTGTGGACGATATTTTGTAGCAGCGAAGACAGCCGAGGAATCAATAGAGCTCAAGGCTTGAGAGTCAAGTTGCGCCTGACTCTTAAGACGCGTTTCCTCCCTGTATAACTCGGCCAAGATAGTATCCAACTCAGTAATATTGCGATGCAGAATGGAGGCCCGGACATGTTCGAATTCACGTCTCAGTTTCATCAAAAACGTCATAGTACGGGAGCGGCTACGTTCATCAATTGTCTGAGTTGTGGCAGGTGTGGCCGATAAGGAAGCAGACAAGAGATCATGTTCAGTCCATAAATGCATGGCCTCCTGATAATAAGACTGAATGTCACGATCTCCTTGAGTTAAGCCGGACAACGCCAACTCCAAATCAAATTGCCGAGACGCGCTAGCCTGACAATTGGTAGTGACAAGATATTTCCACATATCACTGGCCAATTCAAAACGACGTAAACTTAGCCCCGTAGGCACGTCCACCGCACCCAAAAGCCAATTGATAACCTGTGCATTTTCAGCTTCCCAATCTGCATAAGCTTTCTCATCCGATTCCAGGGGTTTAGACTTCTTACCGGTGAGAATCGGAAGTAGACGTTTCCCTTGAACAAAGGTACGAAATTGGAACTCCCACAAAGGAAAGTTCTTCTCATCAAAGCGAGCAAGAGTAGCATCGTGCGGGAAGGAAGCCATGATAAAGAGAGATCCACAAGCAAAAGACCAAGCAGCAGCAGAATAACCAAGCAGGCCAAAGAACAAGAGGCCCAAACCAACGAACAGAACAAAAGAGAACCAAGGCACCAAACCTGACAGTGACGTAAGAACAAGGCCAAGGACTAGAAGAAGACCAGAAGCAGCCGGAGACACACGACAAGAAGCAGCCGATGAAATCCACCAAAAGAATGCACCAAGAGGAATAACGAGCAGTCGGAAAGACCAAGCCCTAGATCTGCCGAAAGAGAACGGGGAAGCAGCCGAAGAATACCAAACCCTAGATAGACACAGATTGATGGAGCAGCCGAAACAGTACAGCAGCCGAAACACGAGAGCAGCCGAAAGCCTAGACAAGAGGCTCTAATACCATGATAAGAACTCAAACTAAAGAACGTGAACACAGGATTTACGTGGTTTCCCTGAGAATCAGGACTATTCCACGGGAGAGGTAGAACTCTCCAGAGTCAATCTTATTCAGCTTAGGTTTTACGATACAAGATGAGGGATATATATATATATATATATATAGCTAGGTTACATCTCATTGTACACCTAGTCCTACCTAGTTTAGGTTAACTTACGTAAAATGATGATTACAATAAGCTACCCAAACTAAGTAATTATAACAATTTCAACAAGAGTGACATGCAAGACACCATAGGCGCATCCTAAAATCTATAACATGACAAATCACATAGTCATAACCCAAAATAATGAGTTAGATTTACTGAGCGTTCGGATCAACGTAAATCATTATCGGTAAAAAAACTAATTTGGCCCAAGAATATTAGTTTGGAAGGTGTGATTTCAAATGGTGTATTGATCTAATTCATGTATTTGCGAGATTAAGTCGTTTTTTTGGTTTATATAGAACTAGAATACATGCATTTTCTTTTTGGAGGTCCCACCACAATCCCTCAATATTGAGGGATTTACAATCTCTACTTTTTGTTGAGATTCTTCACAATCACTCAATACTAACTTTTTTACATTTGGAACAAAAACACAATCTAAACCTCCAAACAAAATATTTACCTAATACATCAATTGATTTCAATCCATCAAATGATAATACACTAATTGTCCCAATACATCAATTTGAAGAATCACAACTTCCAAACAACCCTTAAAAAAACTCAATCGAGATCCTGCCCTAAATCCCCAAAGCCTATCGTTCTTGTCCTCTACTCTGTGGAGTCTGGGATTGGGTATAAACAAAAGGGCGGGAAAGTTGAAATTATCTATGTATTTTCCCTCCCTCGCGCACTGGCTCTTTCTTCTACTCCAAAACCCTAATCTTCCCACAGTTCCACTCCCCTTCCCAAACTTCCGTCCAATGGCAGCGATCGACCCTTTCGCTTCGGTAGCCGAGCTATGCTCGGTATAGTCTTCTCAAGACGAGTACTTGCGCCGCTCTCGTTTCTTGCTGGAGCCTCCTCGGGATTCCCCCATCCCTTTCATCTCCGACTCTAGCCAAGATGCCGCTTCTGCCGATCTCCTCCGCGAATCAACGCCGATAAGGATGGAACTCCGCCGGAGTCCCCCGTCGAGGAGAATCAAGCCGGGGGCAGCCCCGGCCGTGGCGTAAAGGCGAGCGGCGGAGCTGGAAATTACGACGATAGCGACGAAGGTACCTTGGTGATCAGTGGCGATTCTTCGGAAGAGGATTCGGCAGCTGCCGACTTGAGCAGGGATACGTATCATCTGTTCTCAATCGGGACGGGTTAGCATGCTAACCCTTTAAGGGGTTGGTTTTTTGACACCCCCCTTTTAATTGGTCAATTTTTCATTAATTATTGACAAGTATTAATGAAAGTAAACATAATAAATGTTCTGTTATTTAATACAAAGTAAGCATTAAATACACCACATTAATTACCACTTTACTGGTATTTGTACCACTGCACTGATACTCAGATATGACATTGCTACCAGTGCACTGATATCGCTACCAGTGCACTGATATCGCTACCAGTGCAGTGGTATATCTACCAGTACAGTGGTACAACGTATCAGTGCAGTGGTATATCTACCAGTACAGTGGTACACCGTATCAGTGCAGTGGTATATTTTTTGGAGGTGGTCGGAGGGAGTCTGCCGATGGGATTTTCACCGGAGAAGTGTGGCGGTCGGAGGAAGTCTGGTGGTCGGAGAATGCTGAAAAAGGAAAAATCAAATATAGTGAGAGAATTCCTAATGTGTATTTAATGTGTGTATTTAATTTCTAATGTGTATTTAATGTGTGTATTAAATTCTATAGTTGTATTTAATATACTAGGGGGTGTCATTTTTCCAACCCCTAAGGGGGGCCGACCCCGTTCTCAATCGAGCAAGAATCGAATTTTACGGAGAGAGTCGAAAGCCCGGACAAGGTGTTGACACCTAAAATTAATGTGGTCAGAATTAAATGCCGCATTAATTAGTCTCGGGATTTAATCCGATACCGTGGGTAAAAAACGGTAACGGTGTCGGTGTCGCGGAGAGTTAAAACGGTACCGCAAGGAGGTACCACGACATGGGAAACGACACCGCTTAATGAAAATAAAAGGGGCCGCGCGTGTAGTTGGGTTGGAGAAGGGAGTTTTATAATTAATTATTACCTTTATTCCTTGTCGGAAGGGGAAAATCGGTATCGCATGGAGAATTAAAACGGTACCGCAAGGGAGCTCAGCGGTAATGCGGCATTGGAAACGGCACCGGTCACCAAAAAACAAAAGAGGGGCCGCGCGTTTAGTTTTTTTTTTTTTTTTTTTGACAAAAGATAATCATATATTGATCAAAAGAAATAGATAGTTACACCCTGGAGTTCAGCCAGGCCTGAAAATCAAAGAAACGACTCCCAGTCGGGTACAAAGAAAGGGCTTTACGAGCCACCAGATGGGCTACCCTATTATTACGCCGACCTACAAATCGAACACGAAACCCAGGAGAGCTGCTAAAAATCTGCACGAGTTCCTCCAACACAGCTCCGACTCGGTCATCCCTAGCATCCTTCTGATTGATTTTATCAATAAGCACCTTCGCATCCCCCTCAAACCTTACTCCCAACAGACCAGACTCCAAACACCACCACACCGCCTCCCGGAGTACAAGTAATTCAGCCACCCTAGGGTCATCTACGCAAGGAACCTGAACCCCCTTAGCCATCAAAACCTCTCTTGTTGGAGTTAAAAGGACCATCCCCCCTGCCGAATGCGACCCCCGCCTCACCGTGCCATCCCACATACAAACGATACTGTCCTCCCCAGCAGGATGAAGATGAGGACCCCCAGCCGGCACCCTTATCTGGTTAAAAACCGAGGGACCCTTATCCAAGGGTAGCCGGACCCACTCCTCATACTGCTGGTGAAACTGGCGCATCAAGGCCGGAAACCCAAATTGCTTTCCTTCAAAAACAACCCAATTTCGAGACCGCCAGATTCGCCAAAGGAGAGCCACCGCCGCCATAAACAGAGAAGGCTGATGAATGAGAGCCAAAAGTCGCTTCAGGAACATAGGGAATGTATGCCGCGGAAGACCCTCTCCCAGATACCCAAGACCAGAGTAATCCCATAGGGCGCGAGCCACCGGACAATCCAAGAACAAGTGCTCCATTGACTCAGTACTCGCCCAGCAAACAGGGCATCGGGGATGTACCAGGACATGCTTTTCAATGAGGGCCTCCGTGGTGGGCAAAACCCGGTTGAAGATCTGCCAGAGAAAAACTTTTAGTTTCGGGGGGATATTTGCATTCCACACCCGAACCCAATCCTCCTTTCCCATCCAACAAACCGTCAACCTCCAACCACCCTTCCTCTTATCAATGTCAACGGCTAAATGGTAGGCAGATTTCACAGTGAAAACCCCATCCGCCGTACCATGCCAGATTAACTTATCCAGAACATTTTTCCGCGGAAGGGGGATAGTTTTAATTGCCTGACAGGTGGGTGGATCAAACCATTGACATAGCTTGAGGTCATCCCAACACCCCTCCCCTGGACGCATCACCGCAGCAACCGGTAGCTTCCCCCCTTCAGGCAAAATACAAGGATTATAACAGGGGGGCTTCATCTGCAACTTAGGGATCCAATTAGAGTCCAGTAAAGCCGCAGTCTGCCCGTTACCAATCTGCCACCGTAACCCCTGGGCCAGCAACTCCCTACCAAAGAGGATACTTTGCCATCCCCATGAAGGGCGAGATCTAGCTGATGCATCAAGAAACGACCCATTGGGGAAGTACTTGCCTTTGTACACCTGAGCCAACAACGATTGAGGTTCCATTAGAATACGCCAGCCAATCTTAGCCAGCAAAGCCTGATTGAACTGCTCGAACCGACGGAAACCCAACCCCCCATCGTGCTTGCTACGGCATAGATTACGCCAGGACACCCACCGGATCCGAAAATGATCCTCAGCATCCCCCCACCAAAACCGGGCCATATGCCTATCCAGGAGGCGGCATAAAGATAGAGGAAGCTTAAAACAGGACATCACATGCAATGGCAAAGCCAGCGCAACTGATTTAATTAAGGTCTCTTTTGCAGCCCACGACAAAGTCCTCCTCTTCCACCCCTGGAGGTGTTCCAACAGCTTTTCTTCTAAATACCGGAAAGTGGTCATCTTGGACCTAGCAATAAGCGAGGGTAACCCCAGGTATTTATCATGGACCCCCACCGCACCCACTCCCAGAATCGCGGCCAAAAAATCTTGATCCTCACGAATGATATTTTTACTGAAACAGACAGCTGATTTGGTCAAATTCACGCGTTGGCCACTCAACTCCTCATACTCATTGAGGACCTCAATCAGATTTTCACACTCCCTGAGATTCCCTCGCAGGAATAAATACGAGTCATCAGCAAAGAACAAGTGCGAGATCCGCGGCGCCCGAGGGGCCACCTTTACCCCTTCCAGTCTTTTTTCCACGATAGCCTTGCGGAGGAGCGCCGCAAAGCCCTCAGTGCAAAGAACGAACAGAAGAGGGGATAGCGGATCCCCTTGCCTTAATCCCCGGGAAGGAGTAAAATACCCAGAAGGAGTCCCATTCATAAGGACCGAAAAAGATGACGATCGAAGACATTCGTGAATCCATCCCTGCCAGGTAGAATTAAAACCCATCTTTTCCAAGACCGCAAGGAGAAAGGGCCACTCGACTCTATCATAGGCCTTTTCCATGTCAACCTTTAGAGCCATGAATCCTTTCTTACCTCGAGTTTTGATTTTAAGATAGTGCATTAACTCATGTCCCAGCAGTATATTGTCAACAATTTGACGTTCCCGGATGAAAGCATTTTGCCCCTCAGAGATAAGCTGCGGTAACAGGCACGCCAGCCGCTCCGCCATAATCTTCGTAATGATTTTATAAACAAACTGGCATAAACTTATTGGACGCAGCTGCCGCATAGATTCAACATTGTCCACCTTTGGGATTAGTGTCAGCCACGTATGGTTAAAGCTACGGAGCATCCGGCTTGTAGCAAAGAAGGAGCAAACTGCCGTGATAACCGATTCCCCCACAATGTCCCAAAAGGCCTTAAAAAATTTACCAGTGAATCCATCTGACCCTGGCGCTTGCTTTGACCCCATAGCAAAAACCGTTTTACGAACCTCGGAAGGGAGAACTTCAGCCGTCAGATTGGCATTCATCTCGGGGGTAACACTACGAGCTATTGGCAACGAGGCCACACGCTCAGCCATATTCCCCACCTGATTCTCAGTCGTAAAAAGGTTTTGATAGAAGGAAGTCGCAATACCCGCTTTCCCAACTTCATCCGTTATCCAGTCATCATCGTCATTCCGGAGGCCAGCCACAAAGTTTCTTTTCCGCCGAGTCCGAGTCACCGTATGGAAATAGGACGAATTTTTATCCCCTTTCTTTAACCAGTGAACCCTGGACTTCTGTTGCCAATAAACTTCCTCCGCCTCCCATTGTCTACTCAGTTCCATCTCCAATTCCCGGATCGTGTCCCAGTCAATAGGCTGAGTCAATTTGACTCGCTCAATTTCGCTCTGAAGGGTACGAATATTTCGCAGGGAATTAGTAGTACCTGCTCTGCTCCAATCATACAGGAGATGACGAAGCTTCTTGAGGCGCTCCCAAAGTCGGAACATAGGGGTGCCCTGGATCTCCTCCTTCCAAACATAGGTAACCATTGCCCGCACCTCAGGATTTTCTGCCCAACGGGCATCAAAGCGGAAGAGAGGGCGGCTATTCCGAGTATATGGTTTATCAGACAAGAGGAGGGCTCTATGATCAGAGCCTTGATCCGTGAAGTGTTTGACCAAGGTATCAGGAAACCGATCAATCCACTGCTGGGAACAGAGGGCTCTATCCAACCGTTCACGAATACAGGCATTTCCCATTCTCCTATTTGTCAAGTGAAAATATCCCCCTGGAAACCAGGGTCATGAAGCCCCAAGTTATTGATAAAATCACGCAAGCAAGACGAAGCGTTAGAATTCCAGGGATTTCCACCATCCTTTTCGCTCGCATTGAGAACAGTATTGAAATCGCCAATAATAACAAAGGGGAGGTGGAAACCAGAGCAGATTTCTTGGAGCTGGGCCAATTGGGTGGCCCGAATAGGAGCAGAGCAGCTAATATACACCCACACCACAATATAAGAAAATTCTCTTTCATTAACTTGGGAGCAAATACAAAAATTGGAAGAATAAAAAACCGAAATATCAATTTCCGAGGACCAAGCTAACACCAGCCCCCCCGACCCATCAATAGCATCAATAAAAAAACAACGAGAAATATCAAAGCCTAACCCCCGCATACGACGAGAGACGACCCGCCGGCCCGATCGCGTTTCCGAAAAAAACACGAGATCTGGTTTATTCGAAAAGACCATGCCCACTGCCGTTTGGAATGTGAGGGATGGTCCAATGCCTCTCACATTCCAGGCTAATAATCTCATTTATCTGGTTGGGGCCACTCCAGGCTGGCTTCCTCCACCTTCTCAAGGACATCAGCAACCTCCACAAACTGTTTTTTTGGCGTCGGTGGGGTACCCACCTCACCCTCAATAACCTCAATTGGTCGTTTATGCAACCCAGATGGCGGGTTTAGCAAGTTAGACCCATATTCATCCAGCAATCCTGCACTCATCACATTAATGCCATTGCCACCCTCCTCCTTTCCATCTTTTATGTCTCCGGACCAGGCAGGTTCCACCACCTCATCAGCAATCGTCAAACCCGCCTCAAATGCAGCCACCACACGGGTAACACGCCCTTTGGAGGGTGAGCAGAGTTTTTTCGAGGCCTCGAGAGGGGAGCGCTTCCTAATAACAAAGCCCTGGTCTTCTTCTCCCGACGCTGACTCTTCCGAGCCATCCCCCTTCACTGGATCAGCCACCAACTCATCCCCTGCGAATTTGGGACTGGGAATGGCAGGTATAATCTCTTCCACAATAGCCTGAGGTTGGGCCGAGTCATCTCCCATCTCCTGCAGCGCCAACTTTGCATAACAGGCCTTCCCCGCCCCTTGCTTTTTGGCTGGCCGTGGTTTTTGAAGCCCACCCGCCTGCTTGGGCTGGGAGATAACCAGGCCGCCTACTGCCTTGGGCCGGGCCTCCTCAGAATTCTTTGTACCCGCCCCCTGCTCTTGGCCCGCCGAAGTCTCCTTCTCACCGGTTTGACCTCTTCCGGATCCCTCTGATCAACGCCGGCCTCCATCTCCCCAGCCGATTTCAATTGTCGGGTTGGATCCGAAGCACCCTGACTATCCATAGGAATCGCGTCCACCATATCGTCGTCCGAGTCCTTATCAAGTAGGAGTCGGCGCCGTCGAGAGTGCTCCTCGACCATGGCTGGTGTCTCCGATTGTACCTTAGCTGAGGATCTAGGCCGAGAAAGAGCCGGAGCGATGGCCGTCCTCCTCTCGATTTTTGGGTTTCCCGGAGCAGTCCCCGACACCTTCCTTCCAGCTTTGCTCGGCCGGTTCTGTCCCAGGCGGACTTTGGGGGGGCGATTCACGACAAAGCCACGCGGGCTTCCTCTTGCTTTTTGGGCCGCCCCTCCCGAGCCTTGCATCAGTTGCACAGTCGGTTCATCAATCGACACCTTTGTCATCAAAGTCTCTGAGAAGGCAGCTTGGTCCACTCTCGCCGATGACTGGGCGAGATTTTGAGAGTCCCTTGCTGGTTCAGCGTTCTCCATTGGCAAGGGAATACGTTGCTGGCGATTGATCCAAACAGACCGCCTCGACCCTCCAAAAACAGGGGAGTCGCCTTCCTCCTCATAGAGTTTCCTCCCCACCTTCTTAGTTGCCATGTGAGGGCCGAATCGCTCTTGACCCTGAGGGGGATCAAAAGCACAGTCACGGCGGGCATGTCCAATTCGGCCGCAACGGAAGCAAAAACTCGGCAGGAATTCATATTTGCAGCTAACCCAAAACTTGTCGCCTTCCTCACTTGCTGCCATAATCTGTGATCGGAGAGGCAGGGAGAAGTCAATAACAGAATTCACTTTGATAAAACGTTCTCCAGTCTCCTTGCACGCAAAGATCCCAGCATCAATAACTTGGCCGATCGCTGCAGCCACCATTTTCCGCCCAAAAAGTTTGGTGCAGCAGTCTTCTTTGACTCCCCAAAGCTGGACTCGAAGTGGGGCCTTTGCCATCTCCTCCCAGTTCTTTTTCTGAATCACAGGTGACCAGGGGCCAAGGGTGAGCAATCGATCTTTAATGATCCATGGATTCCGAGACAGTGCCCATTTCTTAGCCTCTTCATTAGGCAAAACGATCTCGAACAGGCCATGCTTAGCTCGCATGACCCTAAGCTGCCCACGGATTTTCCAGGCATCCAGCAACTCCTCTCGCAACTCCCCCGTGTTTACTTGATCATTTGTGAACAAACGCCCCAGGAGGGATCGAGCAGCTCGGAAACGGGTCGATTGCACCTCTTCCAGGGAGAAGTGGACGACCTGGTCCTCTGATACGTGAGCCATCGTGCACAAATCCTGGCAAAGAGATTTATTATACGTATTAGCGCCAGGTGTTGCCCACCCTAACACCTCGTCCGTCGGCATCTTACCATGCACGGCTGGCTTGGGACCAAGGTGTATAACAGGTGATAGCTTAAATGGGTTAACACGAATAGAAACAGGGGTGGATTGAGAGATCCATACCCTCCACATACCTGAACTGCTTCGAGGAGGTGCTAAAATAGAGAGAGACCCAGTTGAAGCAATATCCCCTTGGCGTCGAGACTTTTGGGTAGATATAGTCCAGCGTCTATTGGGACGGGGTATAAATAAAGCTAAATGCCCTCTGCCACCGGAAGATCCTAGTTGCAGATACACGTTTGGGGAAGTAGGAGTTCGAGGAGGAGTGAAATTCCCAACCAGGATAGGATCCTCACTCGAGTCTTTTCGTTGGGCAGGGATCCGCGCAGATCCTCCTAACAACCCCGAGAAAGCAGGGAAATCTATTCCCGGACTTAACGCCAGCTGCTTTCCCGAATTTTCCGTCTTGGGGGACAAACCCCGCGTGGCCAAGCACGGCGGCGCATCAGCAGAACCGCCAGCAGCAACGACCGGATCGCATCGCCGTCGCCGATTAATCACCAGCACACGTAGTGATGCCGCTTCCGCCACGAAATCCCGGTCACCTTGGCCAACCCGAGCGTTTGCTCTTTCACCAAGATCACTGGCCTCAACATTAATTTCATCGGTCCTGGATAACAGCGGTTCTTCGCCTACCAGATCCGATGACGGGAGACAAAATCTCCATTCATGCAATTGAAAAAATCTGCGTTTTTTCACAGAGATAAAGATAGACGGATCATTTCCAATCGATATTCCTTGCATCTCCCGGGTCAAAACTTGTTTCCGTTTCTTGAGCACCCGTTTCAGATTACACCCCATCTGATTGGGGTCGCGATGCATTCTGGGGACGCTTCCCATATTCCATCGCGTTTCATTCTTCGTTCCAATATCACGATCATAATCATGGCACCGCTGGGTTTTACCAGCACTCTGATTCACCAGGCTGATTAAGAATAAAGAAGAGAAGATCTCCAGCAACCAATTGCCAAGCCAGCACGACCACGCGAGGAGAGATGGGAGAGCGCCTCTCATCCCCAGGATTTTTTTTTTTTCACTAAGGATTCTTGGGCCGCGCGTTTAGTTGAGTGTTGGGGAATGAGTTTTGCTTACTCTAATTAATTATTATTATTTTTTATTCCTTGTTGGATAGGAAAAAACGGTGCCGCGGAATTAGAGACGGTACCGCTATACTAGCAAACGACAGTGTTTAAAATAACAAACAATGTCGCGAAAGGAAGAGCAAACGGAGCCGTTTTGGCGCTAATGATGTCGTTGGTCAACACGCGTATTTGACTGGTGATGGCCGGATTGATCAATTAATATTTTAATGACTGTTTGGGACGGTGTCGGTTAGTTGAAAACGATGCCGCAAGAGGAAAGAAACGACACCGCGGATTATAAAGCAGTGCCGCGAGTAGGCCAAACGATGCCGCAACAGTTAAAACGACAGTGTTAAAATTAAAACAGTGTCGCGAAGCTCAAAAGTTCAACAACATCTCGGGATAAGGAACTGATGTTGTTTAACTAAGAACGACGCCGAAGGGTGAAAGTTTGACGGCGAGTTAACAATGAGGGTTGGTTTAATTAATTAGTATGTTATGATTATTTTAGACGGTGTCATTTAATGAAAAGCGACGCCGTGGAAAAGTAAAACGACATCACGGTAGTGGTAAGAGTTCAGCCAAAGGCAGCCCGCCAAGCCCAACAACAGCGCAAGAGTAGAGAACGACGTTGTTTGATGGACTAACAATGTCGTTGGTTAAACCGGGTCGGGGCAGTTGAGTTGGATTATAAAACGACATCGGTTGGTGAAAGGCGATGTCGTGGTATTGGTGAAACGGCATCGTTACATGGACAAGGTTGTAGGTCGTTTCGCCAAGTTTCTGCAAAGCAAGAGCGGTTTTGAGGGCACGTGATTATCACGCAACAAGGAGGAAGTTACCTGCACGGTTGACAGGAATGAAGACGTGGGAGACAAAGGCGGGAAGGCAGTTACTACGACGGGGAGAAGCGCGAAGTATAAAGATTGGGAAGAGAGAGAAGCTAGGGACGGCAAAATCAAATCTCAAACTGCACCATCGCAGAATTTATCGTTTTCTCTCTAGTTTTCGTAGAACCGCTCTGTCAAAGACCTCCTTTGCAGAGTCGTAGTCGTAGCTTGTAGTCGTAGTCGCGGAGCTCTCCAGAGGAACCTCCATAGGAGTAGAGGTAACGTAACTCAGAATACTCTCGGTTTGGTTTCTCGTTTCTCGTTGAACACCCTCGTTCGAACGTAGTTTGGAGAGGTGGTGAACCGAGTAACGGTTGTTTGATTAGAGGTCAAAGGTGCATCGATCAAATCAACGACGCCGATACCGGTGGCGGATATTTGACGATCGTCTTGGTTTCTGCTTTAATCGATCAAATCAACGGCGCCGACTTCGGCGGCGGATATTTGACGGTTTTTGCTGACTTTGGGTTTTTGTTTCCTTGAAATCAGAGCGCATTGAACGCGCGAGTTTCGCCAACGAAACAAATTGGCACACCTGGTGGGACCCGTGTGTTCTAATGGCTCCGCGACGAAAGAATCAGGAAGGGGATGTTCCGCCCGGATTCGTGGAGGAACATGTGGCCAACATTGAAGGAGGCCAAGGAGTCGGTGCTGAAGACATCGGCGGGTCTGAGAATCCGCCGCCCACAGCTGTGCCGACCGAGGTTTTGTCAATCCGCCATTTCATGGAGGAGAACCGTCGCATGTTTGCTAGCCTCAACAATGAGTTCGCAGGTTTCAAAGGCGAGGTAAATCAACGTTTTGACGCTTTAACTGCACGACATGATTCTCTTGAGTCTCGTGTTGATAGGTGTTTAGGCCAACTCTTTGAAGTTGTGACTAAAAACAGACATGATTTTGATGTTTTTGTGGATAAAAATCTACGTGATATGAATGAAATTAGAGAGCTTTTGGGTAGACCAGTAACGCAACCTAGGGATTTGCCGTTAAACAGTGAAAATAATCTAAACAGTGAAACTGGTTTTCCAAACAACAGTGCTCGAAATAGTCCGCCAAGACATGGGGTTCCGCCGACACCGGTGGTGAACCCACCAACTCCGCGAGTTAATATTGGCGAGACTAGCACTGCCGCTAACACTCGAGTTGAACCACCGCCATTTCACGGTGGGGGTCCACAAAATATCCCGGAGGCGAGGCCCTATGTGGCTCCGATGAGCGGTGGTGTTGGTGGAGGAACGATCAATAATGATCATGTTCCCCCACGCGGCTACCCGCAAAACGTCCCTCCTCCTCCAAACGGGCTTGGCATGGATCCTGGTGGATTCATACCACAAGGGGGGCAACTCGGGGGCAAGACGTTAACGCAATTCGAGATCAGGTAGCACAGATGCTGGCGGATCAGTTTGGTTTAGTGATTAGACCAGCGATGCCGCCGGTATATCGAAAACCATATCCGGATTGGGTTGATAGATACTACCCCTTTCCACGTGGTTTTCGCGTACCTGATTTCATCAACTTCAGCGGGACTGGGGATCCGTCCACCGTCGAGCACGTTGGATGATTCACGGTTCAGTGTGGTGACGTGAGTGATTTCTTGAAGTTGCGTTTGTTTGGCAACTCGTTGACCGGGCCCGCATTTGCGTGGTACGTCAATTTGCCATCGAACTCGGTTCAAACATGGCAGAAAATGGAACAAATATTCCATGCCCAGTTCTACCGTTCTGAGCCAGAAGTAACTATGGCAGACTTGGCACGAATGCGCCAACAGCCAGGAGAAACGGTGGAACATTTCTTAACTAATTTTAAAAATGCAAGAAATCGCTATTTTGTGAACGTGACAGAACGCAAGTTTGTTAAACTTGCTCAAGGTGGATTGAATTTTGAACTTCGTAAAAAGTTTCAAGATAGGGAGTTCTCCGATCTGTTTCAATTGATGTCCTGCGCTGTTATATACGAATCTCTTCTTCGTGAAGAAGAACATAAGAGGAGTGGTTCTCGTGGACAATATTTCCCTAATTTTGAAAACTATGGTGTGAATAACGTCGGCAGTGATGTTGACAAGGTTGAGGTTGATTTGGCCGAGATTGTGCAGGGGAAGCCATATGTGTGTGCTTCTCTAGCCAAGGCCGAAGGGGAACCACAAGGTGGAAAGCCCAATCGTGCTCCAATTCAAACTAGGAAATATTCCTTTGATGTTTCAAAATCAGAATTGATTTTCGACAAACTTTACAAAGATGGTCAAATTAAGTTAACTGGGGGGCATTCTATCCCGCCAGCTGAAAAGTTAAAAGGAAAACGCTACTGTAAGTGGCACAACAATGTGTCTCACTCAACTAATATGTGTGTAGTGTTTCGAAACGTGGTGAAGGATGCTATTGAAAAAGGTCGGTTCAAGGTACCGGAGCTGAGGAAGGAGGCCATGATTGTTGACACTGACCCGTTTCCCAACGGTGTGGGCGTCAATATGGTCAACATTGTGGGGGGCAACATTGTCGAAGCTCTTTTGTACCACAAAGACCATGGTTCTCAAAAAATTAGGAGTATGGAAGGGGGACCATGCAACGTCGCAGTTTCAAGCACAAAGGTGTTGGGTAAGGCGTGCTTGAACTCGTTGTCCGAGATTGTGAGACCATCAATGCTTGCATTAGGTGGTCCACCAAAATCTGAGTAAGCCACCTCAAGAGAGGATGACGAAGGTCGAAATTACGGCCTTGCTGGAGGGGTTGCCGATCAACGGCGACGATGCGAGTAACGAGGTGGGAAAGGAAGCAGTGTTGCCGACATTGTAGAAGAAATCTACCTTGGTGCGAAGGAGGATCAACGTTCAACTTTCATAGTGCCATCTTGCATGAATCTTATAGGTACGAGTTAACTCTGCTTCTGATTGGCTTCAAAGATTGTGCTACGTGTGAATATCATGAAATATTGCATGTGCATGTTGCAGTCTTGCTAGCTAGACAATTTATTGATTTTTATATTAGATTGTCCAATAAGTGAAGGATTGAGCTATATAGACACTAACGGCGTTGCAACAACTAAATCACCGCCGTTGGAGTGAAGTTGTGGCTTGTTATGTTATATGGTTTGCGTTTTTGGTCAAAGTTGTTTAATATGGTTGGCCAGTGTTTACGATGTTGACGAGATAGCCAAAACATCGACATAGAGTAAAAAGCTTTACCATGTAATTTTCGTTGACAATGGTCGCATAAGACGAAAGAAGGACCGGACCAATTATGCTTGTTTTTACCTAAGCTAGCAAGCGAAGTTGTTTGTGGCATGGCTGTTGTATTCTCTTTTAGCAACAACTTTGTTGTGGCTTGGAGGAAAGAAAAGAGCATATTCTCGGCCAAAAAATAATAATAATAATTAATAATGAAAAAAAAGAAGGAAGGGAGAGATGGTGCGGCCAAAGTCCAAACAACCCTGCTATATAAAAAAAAAAAAAAGGCTCTCATCTCAGCACTGCCGCTAACAGCCCAGAGGAAAAAAAAGACAAACAAATGCAGAGCGCTGGTGGGGAATAAAAAAAAAGTGCATGCAGCGCTGCCGCTGATGCAAACAGCGCTAAATTGGAAAAAAAAAGGGGCAGATGGGTGGCGGCCAAACAGCCCTGGGATAGAAAAACAAAAGAAAAAAGAAGGCTCAGCGCTGCCGCTAACAGGTCTGGGAAAAAAAAAATTGGCCCGCCAGGTCTGATATAAAATAAAAGGGGGAGAGAGTCAGCGATGCGGAAGGGCGGCCAAAACAGCTCAACAAAAAAAAAATGGGGGCAGATGGGTGGCGGCCAAACAGCCCTGGTATAAAAAAAAAGAGAAAGAGAAGATTGTAGGGCGGCCAAAACAGCTCAAAAAAAAAATTGGGGGCAGATATTTGGCGGCCAAACAGCCCTGGTATAAAAAAAAGAGAAAGAGAAGATTGTAGGCGGCCAAAAAGCTAAAAAAAAAACTCTCACGGCTTTGGCCAAGCAGCCCTGAAAAAAAAAATATTAAATTTTTTTTTAGATGCAGCGCTGATGGGGAGCAACGAAAAAAATATATATAAATAAAATTTTTGTGCATGCAGCGCTGCTGCTGTTGCTAACGGCGCTGATGATATAAAAAAAATCATTATTATTTTTAATTAATGATTGCAGCGCTAAAAAAAAAAAAAAAGTTTGGCCGCGTTGTTGCAATTAGCCACAATGCTAGTGGCCAAAATCATTCGGCCATGCATGAGAGTTATACAATTGGTAATTAAAGATTTCATTGCTAACTCTGGCCTATGTGTTTATTTTGTTTCAACACTTTGGCCAAGTGTTTTAGGTGTAATACTATTTTGTCAACAATTTGGTTCATAATTCTTATAACCAAATTTGAACCAAATTGTGGGGGGCATTTGTTGACACCTAAAATTAATGTGGTCGGAATTAAATGCCGCATTAATTAGTCTCGGGATTTAATCCGATACCGTGGGTAAAAAATGGTGTCGGTGTCGCGGAGAGTTAAAACGATACCGCGAAACAGAAAACGGTACCGCAAGGAAGCTCTGCGGTACCACGACATGGGAAACGACACCGCTTAATGAAAATAAAAGGGGCCGCGCGTGTAGTTGGGTTGGAGAAGGGAGTTTTATAATTAATTATTACCTTTATTCCTTGTCGGAAGGGGAAAATCGGTACCGCATGGAGAATTAAAACGGTACAGCAAGGGAGCTCAGCGGTACTGCGGCATTGGAAACGACACCGGTCACCAAAAAACAAAAGAGGGGCCGCGCGTTTAGTTGAGTGTTGGGGAATGAGTTTTGCTTACTCTAATTAATTATTATTATTTTTTATTCCTTGTTGGATAGGAAAAAACGGTGCCGCGGAATTAGAGACGGTACCGCTATACTAGCAAACGACAGTGTTTAAAATAACAAACAATGTTGCGAAAGGAAGAGCAAACGGAGCCATTTTGGCGCTAATGATGTCATTGGTCAACACGCGTATTTGACTGGTGATGGCCGGATTGATCAATTAATATTTTAATGACTGTTTGGGACGGTGTCGGTTAGTTGAAAACGATGCCGCAAGAGGAAAGAAACGACACCGCGGATTATAAAGCAGTGTCGCGAGTAGGCCAAACGATGCCGCAACAGTTAAAACGACAGTGTTAAAATTAAAACAGTGTCGCGAAGCTCAAAAGTTCAACAACATCTCGGGATAAGGAAACGATGTTGTTTAACTAAGAACGACGCCGAGGGGTGAAAGTTTGACGGCGAGTTAACAATGAGGGCTGGTTTAATTAATTAGTATGTTATGATTATTTTAGACGGTGTCGTTTAATGAAAAGCGATGCCGTGGAAAAGTAAAACGACATCGCGGTAGTGGTAAGAGTTCAGCCAAAGGCAGCCCGCCAAGCCCAACGACAGCGCAAGAGTAGAGAACGACGTTGTTTGATGGACTAACAATGTCGTTGGTTAAACCGGGTCGGGGCAGTTGAGTTGGATTATAAAACGACATCGGTTGGTGAAAGGCGATGTCGTGGTATTGGTGAAACGGCAGCGTTACATGGACAAGGTTGTAGGTCGTTTCGCCAAGTTTCTGCAAAGCAAGAGCGGTTTCGAGGGCACGTGATTATCACGCAACAAGGAGGAAGTTACCTGCACGGTTGACAGGAATGAAGACGTGGGAGACAAAGGCGGGAAGGTAGTTACTACGACGGGGAGAAGCGCGAAGTATAAAGATTGGGAAGAGAGAGAAGCTAGGGACGGCAAAATCAAATCTCAAACTGCACCATCGCAGAATTTATCGTTTTCTCTCTAGTTTTCGTAGAACCGCTCTGTCAAAGACCTCCTTTGCAGAGTCGTAGTCGTAGCTTGTAGTCGTAGTCGCGGAGCTCTCCAGAGGAACCTCCATAGGAGTAGAGGTAACGTAACTCAGAATACTCTCGGTTTGGTTTCTCGTTTCTCGTTGAACACCCTCGTTCGAACGTAGTTTGGAGAGGTGGTGAACCGAGTAACGGTTGTTTGATTAGAGGTCAAAGGTGCATCGATCAAATCAACGACGCCGATACCGGCGGCGGATATTTGACGATCGTCTTGGTTTCTGCTTTAATCGATCAAATCGACGGCGTCGACTTCGACGGCGGATATTTGACGGTTTCTGCTGACTTTGAGTTTTTGTTTCCTTGAAATCAGAGCGCATTGAACGCGCGAGTTTCGCCAACGAAACACAAGGTAACTCTCTGCCAATCTGAAGAACGTAGGGTGTTAGATGGGGAATTAGGTTTCGGTGATGGTGTTTGCGAACCTCTTGGCACATCATTTAAAAATCCTGATAAAGTTGGGGGTTCTGAAATTCCCGTGAGTGAGAAAAACTGGAAGAGACTAACAAGATGCCTGGGCGTATTGCAGTCTTTATCCGAGGAACGAGAGGGTCAGGGTACTAGTAGTTGTAGCGGAACTCCATTGCTGCGGACTCCACAATCTAATTTGGGCAGCAACCCGGCTCTGGTTGTACAGAGATCGATAGTGTCTTTGGAGACATTGGGGTCTCCATTGAAAGGACTAACAACTGTGAGTGAGAAAGAACGGGGAAATTTCAGCGAAAGTGAGTTTCTGCAGACTTCACAAGCTAATTTGGGCATTGAGCCGGCTCTAGTTCTACTGGGATCCCTGAAATCTCTGGAGAAAATGGGATCTACCACCAAAGAACAAAAACAAGGACTGAAATCTATTCAGGCTGCCGAGGGGTTACAATCTGCAATAGCAGTAGATCACACGGCTGATGGAAAGAGAGAAGCAGCAGAACAAGGGTTCGCTTCGAAGAGGAAGCTGGAGTCCTCTGGTGAGCAGTTGAAATCCGAGGCTGGTGCAGAAACTAATGTGGTGGACAACGTAGAGCACATGATAACGATCCAGCGAGATCGTTCTTTGGGCAGAAGTGGTAAAAGAGCCAAGGAACCAAGTAAATTGCCCCCAAAAGTGGCTGCATTAATGGGTATCCTGAATATTTTTGCTGCAAAGGAAGATGTCCGTGATTCCACAGTCGTAAGCATGCGTCTCATTGACATTTGCAAGATGCACGGCATGACCTTTCCTTAATGGAAGCAGCCATTTGATTGTCCAGAAAGACGAGTATAAAGCTGGGTTTTAGCTACTCCGGGATCGAATGTGTGTAAGGTCCATGGTGCAGCTAAATTTGAGCATTGGCGCTTGCAAAAGCACTTGTGATTTGCCTCTTATGGCTTTCATTTTATGTTGATGGATTGTGTAAATGTTTGGCAGAGGTTGTATGTTCTGTAGAAGCGGGGTATGAGTTGATGCATCCGCAGTACATTTTTTGTAGAAAGATACGGTGAGTTGAAGAAGCCAAAACTCTTATCTTCTTGTATATGAATATGGCTGACCCCATATTTCAATTCTCTTTTGGAGTATGGACTTTGATATGCCTCTTTTCATTTTTTATGAACTTCATTTCGTATTCTTTCTCTTATGCCATTGGTCAGGACTATGAATTCAGTTCCTCCATTAGCTTAACAATATCAATATTGTGGACAACAATAGATTTCTGCTTCCAACAGATTGCTGCGGAAGATCAACTTTGATTCTGCAGGTCCAAAAGGTTCTCTGTGTCTTCTGGTTTTAGTTATCCGGGCAGCTGTCGGATCCCTCTTTCCAGGGCATTGGGTTCAACAGGATCTTTAATCCCTATCTTATGGAGCTATTGACAACTCGGAGCGCAGGTAATTCTATTCATTGTCCACATCCACCTTCCCCAAATCATGACTCAGAAAGATATCAAGGTCGTCATTAGGCAGCTGCAGGATGGGACTTCTTGTGATTTCTAGTTAAAGTTGCAATCTTTTGCTTATTTATGGTACTGGGTTACAGAGTCTGAATACTGACTACTAATGGTTATTCTCAATCCGAAACAACAAGGTTCCATTTGACATCATTCGACACTTTGCAGTTCCTTTTTGACCGAGGGGATTGCAGCTTCAGTTTGTAACTTCATCTGACGAGAGGGGCTTTCCCTAAGCATAATATTTTTTTTTCTTTTCACGAAGTCGTTCCTCCATATATTCCTGGTACGACATGGATTTGTACTTTGGTGCTTGCTTCTTCCCATCCTTATCGAGAATGTCTGGCAAAGGTCCAATTACAGCGTTAGAGTTTGGGTTGTGGAATGTTGCTATGGACAGCCTCTCCTTTTCAGGGTTCACTACTGCCCTATGCTCTACGCTCTTGTATTCTCCATTGCTCATGATCTGTCAGTGCATATTCGACATTATTACCGATATGAATTGGTTTTCTATATATAGATATATCAACAAGTTGTCCAAATTAACCCAGTTTCTGCTATTACCTCAACAAAGTTGCCAACATTAACGATGAAAGCACCTTGAATGGGATCAATGGGAATCCATTTCCCGTTTCTCTTGATTTGCAAACCTTGTACTTCATTCGCTTGAGTCAATAATGTCAATCCAGCTACGTCAGAATGTGGGGTGCTACCAATAACCTTGTCTGCTTGCTTACATGGTGGATAATAGTTCGTTCTTACACTTTGACGACCACCTTCGAACAAAGATAGCAGCTTTTCTGGCTCGAGTCCCAGGTTCCTCGCCATGAAACTCAGCAAGGCAGAATTCAGCTTTTCCAGCTCTGTTGAATATTGGTTCAGAGTTTCCCTGCACGGAAAAGGGGCAAGCTAGAGCTTTTGGTTAGTGGTTGGCCTAGAGATGGCACATTCACTAGTCAATTAAGCAAGTGCAACCAAAACTTTTAGAGTGAAGCAATGTATATGCATTTGGCTAAGTGGGGAGCTTACCTGAAAGAAGAGGGAACTCTTGGCCAAAACCTCATGTTTCTTCCATCTCGAGGTTGTGGGAAAATGTAGAGAAAGTCACTCCAATCTAGCTTTCGCCCTCCTGATACCACGTGCGATGGGGAATATCCTTGGATGTCATCAGGCAGTCGCGCATATTCCATTTTCTCCTCCAGAGGCAGGCTGAAGAACTCTTGAACATCCGCTTTCATTTTCAGAATCACCTCCTCCGCAACCCCATGGTTGATCACCTGCTCTCACATGACACCTCTTATCGGGTTTAGGATTGGTTTCCATGGCAGATTTTTAGAGGACATAATTCATGGATACCACAATAACACCATAAACTACCATCAAAGTATTGAACTTCCACCTAATCTATCCAACAATCTGCCTGTCATGACACTCGCAAGCCCAAGAGTTCTTGAAAGAAAGGAAGATTAAAATTCTTGATTAGCCATACCTGGAAGAATCCCCAATCTCTACAAGCCTCATGAAGCTTAGCCAATTCATCTCCTTCATCATCACGACCGCCAACCAGCTTGCCCATGTCGATCACTGGAACTTGAACAGACTCATCTTTTGAAACTTCATCGAGCTCGAATTCAGGACGTAAATACCTAGTTGGTACCTCCTTCAAGCTCTTAGCCAGCTCTTGAACACTGGGGACACCAAGAGCAACTCCAAGCTCCATTCCCAGCACTTGTAAGAACACTTCTCCTGGAGATATAGATGAACTGAAAAGTCAGGAAAAAAATGAAGTAACAACATATGAACATATTACAAAACAGGGTAAATTGGGGGGAAAACCTAGAGTGTAGCTTAGTGGGTGTGCAGTGTAGGTAGCAGCGGCGAATTGTAGGGTTTTCCGATGGAGAAGAGGGAAACAGAGGTCAGTAATTTATAGCAAGTCTCAGTAGGCTATTCCACCATGAGAGTAACAATGCGGAGGAGTTGAATCATTACCACAGATAAGCACGGTTTTCACTCTGCACAAGTGTCCCAACGGGGAAGAACATGTGGCAGAACGGACCGTTTCTTTGATTCATGCATTTCTTGTTTAAGGGGCCATGGTGGGTAACGGGCGGAGAATTGGCGCGAATTGGAGGCATGGCGGACACTTGGGAAGAACAGCTGAATAGATAATCTCTTGATTCATGCATTTCATGTTTGAAGGAAGAGCCATGGTGGGTGAACGGACGAGTTGGCGTGATTCACTGGCATGGCGGACACTTGGAAGAACAAGCTGACCAGATAATTTCTTGATTCATGCAGTCTCGTCATCTCTGGTCCAAATTTGGTGGTATCGCGTCAAATCCTTGACCATCGTCTCAAATTTTCCCGGCAAACAATATCCGGCGGCCTAATTGTGCAACACCGTTGTTGAATTGATCGCCCGCCGTTAAATCTCTCATCTTCCTTCACTCCCAGAACCCTAATCCGCTGTTTTCCTCGTCGTTGGAGCTCCGAATACGGGTCCGGCGAACAGTAATTTTAACCGTATCTATGAAACTTCTTTTACTGCTTCTCTGTCTTGGTTGGGCTGGGCCCATCATTTTCCGAGCCTTGTTGGCAATGAAGTGACAGCCCAATCAATATGGGCCTGGTAAATTGGGCTGGTTAGTAGAGATGATCTCTCTGAAACCCACTTCTTACTGGGGGTGGCTATATGGTCCGGTGCGATTAAATTGGACCAAATTGATCCGGTCCCAGTCCGGTCTTTTCGAGAATATAAGGACCAAAGATTGGATTGGATACAGTCCGGTCTTGATTTGGTCCGGTCTTGATCCGGTCCGGTCCCATTTTGATCTTGATTTGGGGTGTTGGGGGTCTCTTATCCGGTCTTTATCCGGGTTTTTACCTCAAATCTAAGCCCGAATATGAGATTGGATTGTTTGTTATCCTAATCCAGTCCAATACCGGTCCGAATTATACGATCCGATTTCGGGTAAAACCAAACAGTCCAAAACCAAATAGCCAGCTCTACTTCTTACTCCGAATCTCCGATCCCTCATTCTCAAAGGGCGAAATTCTTCTGAACCTTGCTGAGTTCCAATTTTCTTGTGTAACAGTGTAAGTATTTGTTCGCAATCCTTGTATTTCATTGCCATATATTGCCTTCCAAGATTTGATCCCACAATCTAATTCGGGCAGCAATCCTACTCTTGGCATGAATAGCTTTGAAAAACTATAATGAAATTCCTAATTAATTATCCAGTATTTTCCCATAATACGAAATTAAGATAGATAATTAATAAAAAGAATATTATGGAGATAATCAGGAAAATTATCTTAATAGATTATATTTTAATTATAGGAGTAATTATCTCCCTAATTAAAATGTGACTTATTCCCAAAGAAAGAGGGAATGTTCTGGGTTTTCTGCTCAGGAGACGCTCCAGGCCCTCTAAATACACCTCAGAGAGCAGAAACACGAGAGAGAGTGAGATTCAAAGAGCTCCGGTTTTCCGCACAAAACCGCTGAGCAAATCAAAAGAGTGGCTATTTTATCCTGTAGGCGACCGACTGATAGTCTGTTGTGCGAATAACGAGGCAGTGACGCAAACGTCTTAAAGAGAGCGACCTAGTCCGCGACTCAGCTAGATCGGTAACCAAATTTTTCCTGTTCGATTTCTAACAAATTTTAAGACGTTGGCTGCTGTCATGTGTACTGAACAGATTCGATTACCGCATCTGGTTTCCCAAGTTTCAATCTCGCTTGGGCGTGCGTGCCGCCGCTTACGCTCGCATTGACGCAGACCGGGAGATCGTAATCGGGACGCACGCTGCATAAGGGAGTTATTGTCCAATTAATTGTTCTCGCAATTCGGCACCCTCAATTCTCGGGAATTACGTAATTGTTCTTGTCCAATTAATTGTTCATGGACTATTAACTACTCTTGTCCCTAATTGCATGGAAGCTAGGGATAACCAGGTGGAGGTCTTTACTATAAAGCTCTGTCGGTTGCTGGTGGTCAGTGGTCACGGGGGATTGGCAAATGGAGAAATTGATGCGGGCATGCTAAGCTTTTGCTCCTTTATGAGACGCAAAGAGGGTATATCACGTTGATTCTCATAAGTTGTTCACTTCTTGAAAAGAGATAATAACTAAACTTTTTCTCATGATATATTAGAATATATCTCATCGGATTTCATGCATAAAATCGAGAATCCCTATGAATATTAGACAAGAAAAATAGATTTTATGCATGATAATGATGACATTGAGATATGCTTTGCTCAGTAATTAGAATACAAGTTTGTGTGCATAATGCATATTGAGGAGTAGAGTAATTTTACTACATGAATGCATACTTTGAAGCATATATGAGTTTGTATGCCAGTGGAATGGGTTGTATACCCATATTTATTTTGGGAGAAGTATTGTCTAAAGGTTCAAGAATCAGAATAGCAATTTGAACCAAATCCACACCAATTAGAATGGTACCCATCGTGGTAACCATAAGATTGTCACACAATTCTCTAAGAATGACGCTAGGTTTCTCAATTAAATTTGAGAAAAACTAGGTCATATGACACGAAAGTGTAGGAACAAGTATAACACTGGTTCTAGTGTTAACTTGATTGAAGAGAAGAATTTGTGGCTGTGATGATTGACAAAAGAGCAAAGATTAACCTTGTTGGCAACTCTGAAGAATAGTGGTTGAATGCTGGTATCTCGAATCATACTAAGACATATGCTATTAAGAAAGTGTTGTTGAGTATTGCTCACTCCACTATTGGTCATGGTCATGAGAGTATGCATATGATGATAAAGTGAAATGACTCTTAAATATGTGATTAGAGAATCAGAATCTTTGGATTTGATTCATTTTGAAATGGGTGAACGAGAATAATGTGAAATGCTTTATCACATTATTATTGATTGCACTAATTAAAGATGTGATGCTTTTGACATGCTTTTGATGTAAAACGTTATGAAATGTGTTTTTCATATGGTATAGTTTGAGAATCAGTGCAATATAGATGAGCATGAGAGTGATTTATTGATTGTGCTATCAATAATAGAACACATAAGTTTAAGAAATGAAATACTCATTGTTGTGTGAATCCATTAATGGCATTCCATTTAAATCGAGAAATAGTGGGGGTGGTATCTTGCCTACTATTAGAAATAATGGATAACTAGTGGGGGTGATGAGTATGAACTCAGAAGAGACAAATAAACCATAAATCATTGAGGGATTTTGGTTATGAATTTGTTATTTACACCCTAAGAAGAGATCCTACAAGTCTGCTAGAAGTTCGAACTTCCATACAGATGTAGATTTGTGGGTAAATCCATTATTAACGAAATGGAATTATTGGAGTCTAATAAGACATAAAATCTTGTAGAGTTACCTCTTGGCTGTAAAGCCTTGGGTAATATATCTATAGAATCGAACAAGATTTGGCATCTAGTCGAAGGTAATAAATGGTTTCCCAAAAGAAAAACTGAAACCTGATGGTTTAGTTTATGAGTATAATGAATATTAAAACTATTTTGTGAATGACGATTGAGATAGGGAAATCTACATGGGACAACCTATAGGGTTGTTATTCCTGAACATGCTTATGGAGTCTCTAGTTAGACAAATCATTGTAAGATTTGAAACAGACTCTAAGATGATGGCATGAATAAATTGGTTCTCTCTCATGGTTTTAATGAAAGTGACAAGTGTATTTAATACAAGTTTGAGAATGACACGTGCACTATGAATGATTTGTTGATATTGGGTACAAAGACTCATGATATCAATGATGTGTAAAACCATGTTTGAGAATTTTGAATGATCTGGATGAAGTTTGTGTAAGCTAAAAGATCCAGGTAACTATGACAATGAAATAGATTTCCTCTAGATCAGTTTAACTACATAGTTAAGATCTAGAAGAAATACAAGTTGTATGCCTGCATAAATGGTTGATGATGCTAGTTTAAATATTAGATAACACTGGAAACGGTGTAATAAACTAAGAAAGTTAGAATATACTAGCATCGACAGTCTGCAAGAGGCAGCTGATTAACACGAGACCCGACATTGTGGGTTATTTGGCAGGTTTACATGATGTCCTAGTATGAAGCATTGAAATGCTATTGAAAAGGGTCGTGAGACACCTTAAAAGAACAGAAAACTTTGGTATTTTTTATCAAAGGTTTTGCTGTATTGGTAGGATATAGTGATGCAGACTAGAATATCCTACAGAGGACTCCAAGATTACCAGAAGCTATGTTTTAAACATCGATAGAGAAGTTGTGCCTTGGAAGTCTAAGAAAAAGAAGTGAACGATTCTGGCTCAATCAACTATGGAATCAGAAATGATACAACTAGCAATGGCTAGTAAAGAAGACAGTTGATTGAGAGGGTCATTACTAGAGATTCCCTTATGGGAAAGACCGTATCCGCCGGTATAGATCCATTGCAATAGGAATTGCTAAATAGAACCATAACAAATGGTGAGAGGCGACAAGTTCATCATAAGAACAGTACTGGAAGAGAGAGTACCTAACTGTTAGAGCAGTAAGGGTGGATCACTGAAAAGAGAATCTACTTTATCTTTTGACGAAAGGATGAATTTGAGATTATAAAAGAATCTAGCTGGTCCTTTGACGAAAGCACTAGCTAGAGAGAAAGTCCAAGTACCACAAAGGGTATGAGACTTATGCCTACCGAACCATGGATTACAAGTGATGGTAACCCGACCCGATAGACTGGAGATCCCAAGAAACAGGTTCAATGGGTAATAACAAGTCATGAGTAATATTGAGAAAAGTTCATGCATAGTGAAGCATGAATCCCAAAGCCTTGGAGGTTGAGTTAAACTCTTAATGAGATCTATACTCTATGTGGAGTGAAGTACTTTACTTTGGGGGTACTTCTGATAGACTCACCTATGTGAATGTGGGAGTGGGGCCGCTTCCTATGGAACTTTGGAGGCACAAAGTTGCTAGAGCGTTCACTAAACCGGGATAACGTGCATTGCCATAAACGCAGGGCCTATGAGAGAATATCACTCAATGAAAAGATCCGGTGTGCTACATTGTCTGTGATAGGGTTCAAGACTACGAGTCACCCTTATGAAATCGGAAGTGTAACCACTACGCTAAGGTTCAAATCTTCGCGAGACCTTAACTTATGCCCGATCTTATGGAACTGTTGATGCTCAGAGATAGTTTGAAACTATTTAAGTGGGGAATTGTTGGGATGAATAGCTTTGAAAAGCTATAATGAAATTTCTAATTAATTATCCAGTATTTTCCCATAATACAAAATTAAGATGGATAATTAACAAAAGGAATATTATGGAGATAATCAGGAAAATTATCTTAATAGATTATATTTTAATTATAGGAGTAATTATCTCTCTAATTAAAATGTGACTTATTCCCAAAGAAAGAGGGAATATTCTGGGTTTCTGCTCCTATAATTAGGAGACGCCCCAGGCCCTCTAAATACACATCAGAGAGCAGAAACACGAGAGAGAGTGAGATTCAAAGAAGTCCGGTTTTCCGCACAAAACCGTTGAGCAAATCAAAAGAGTGGTTGTTTTATCCTGTAGGCGACCGACTGATAGTCTGTTGTGCGAATAACGAGGCAGTGCCGCAAACGTCTTAAAGAGAGCGACCTAGTCCGCGACTCAGCCAGATCGATAACCTAATTTTTCCTGATTTCTAACAGGTTGTACATAAATCGATAATGTCTTTGGAGAAATTGGGGTCTTCGTTGAAAGGACTAACAACTGTGAGCGAGAAAGAACCGGAAAATTTAAGCGAAAGTAAGTTTCTGCAGAATTCGCAAGCTTATTTGGGCATTGAGCCGGCTCTAGTTCATGTGTGCAAGGTCCATGTTGCAGCTAAATTTCAGCATTGGCAGCTTGCAGATGCACTTATGATGTGCCTCTTGTGACTTCCATTTATGTTGATGAATTGTGGTAAGTGCTAGCGGAAGGTTGTATGTTCTTTAGAAGCAGGGTATGAATTGATGCATCCCCATGAAACAAAAGTTCTATCTTGTCTATGAATATGACTGACTGAATATTCTAATTATCTTTTGGAGTATGAACTTTTATCTGTAATTTTTTTAGGGTAAATACAATTTAATATCTAAACCTTTCATTTTAAATAATATAATAGCCAAACCTTTTCGAAAACAATCTAATATCCAAATCGTCAACTTTCCGTTCGTTTGACCGTTAGTTGACACTTCAAAAAAGTTCGAAGTACGACGCTTCATCAATATCCATCGATGTCTTCTCTGAAAAACCACCAACATATCGTGGTTCCAAACCCGAGAAGTCCATGACTCCACCATGATGGTGTAGAATATCTAAATATTCAGTCATCTGCAATGCCAAAATAAGAAAACAAAGTTGTATTGTGACAATTTCCCCTAAACAAAACTTTTTTGAAGTGTCAACCAACGGTCAAACGGACGGAAAGTTGACGATTTGGATATTACATTGTTTTCGAAAAGGTTTGGCTATTATATTGTTTAAAATGAAAGGTTTGGATATTAAATTGTATTTACCCATTTTTTTATGAACGTCATCTCTCTATTAACGTCATCTCTCTATTATGTATTCTTTCTGTTATGCATCGGTGAAAACTTTGAATTCAGTTACTCCATATGCTTCGTTGCAAAATATGAACATTGTGGACAACAGATTTCTGCTTCCACAGATTGCTCCAGAAGAGAAGATCAACTTTGATTCTGCAGGTCTCAGAGGTTCTCGGTGAGGTCCTATTCATGACCTTCCCCAAACCACGACTCAGAAAGTTGCAATCTTGTGCTTAGTTATGGTACTGGGTTACAGAGTCTGAATCCTGACTACTAATGGTTATTCTCAATCTGAAACAACAAGGTTCCATTTGCAGTAATTTGACACTACACAGCTACTTTTCGACTATGGAGGGGCTTCAATTCACTGTGCATCGTTGGTTTGTAACTTCATCTGATGAGCGGGGCTTTTCTCTTTGCCATCGGCTTTAGGGTCTTCCCTAAGCATCATAAATTCCTGGTACGATATGGATTTGTACTTTGGTGCTTGCTTCTTCCCATCCTTACCGAGAATGTCTGGCAAAGGTCCAATCATAGCATTGGAGTTTGGGTTGTGGAAAGCTGCAATGGACAGCCTCACCTTTTCAGGGTTCACTACTGCCCTATGCTCTATGCTCTTGTATTCTCCATTGCTCATGATCTGTTAGTGCATATTCGACATTGTTACCGATATGAGTAGGTTATATATATACATTAAAGAGCCTTTAATTTTCCTAATTAACCCAGTTTCTGCTATTACCTCAATAATGTCGCCAACATTAACGATGAAAGCACCTTGAATTGGATCAATGGAAATCCATTTCCCGTTTCTCTTGATTTGTAAGCCTTTTACTTCATTCACTTGAGTCAATAATGTCAATCCAGCTGCGTCAGAATGCGGGGAGCTACCAAGAACCTTGTTTGCTTGCTTACATGGTGGATAATAGTTTGTCCTTACACCTTGACGACCACCTTCAAACAAAGTTAGCAGCTTTTCTGGCTCGACTCCCAGATTCCTTGCCATAGAACTCAGCAAGGCACTCTTCAGCTTTTCCAGCTCTGTTGAATACTGGTTCAGAGTTTCCCTGTATGGAAAAGGGGCAAGCCAGAGCTTTTGGTTAGTGGTTGGCCTAGAGATGGCACTTCTACTAGTCAATTAAGCAAGTGCAGCCAAAAAATTTAGAGTCGAGAAATGTACATGCATTCGGCTTAGGTGATGCGAGAGAGCTAACCTAAAAGAAGAGGGAACTCTTGGCCAAAACCTCATGTTTCTTCCATCTCGAGGTTGTGCAACAATGTAGAGAAAGTCACTCCAATCTAGCTTTCGCCCTTCTGATACCACGTGGGATGGGGCATATCCTTGGATGTCATCAGGTAGTGGTGCATATTCCATTTTCTCCTGCAGAGGCAGGCTAAAGAACTCTTGAACATCCGCCTTCATTTTCAGAATCACTTCATCCGCAACTCCATGGTTGATCACCTGCTTTCCCATGATACCAAATTGAGTTTAAGATTAGTTCCCATGGCAGATTTGTGAATGACAAAATTCATGGAAACCACAATAACACCATAAATTACCATCAAAGTATTGAACTTCCACCCAATCTATCCAACATTCCGCTTTGCATGACACTCACAAGCCCAAGAGTTCTTGAAAGAAAGGAACATTAAACCTCTTGATTAGCCTTACCTGGAAGAATCCCCAATCTCTACAAGCCGCATGAAGCTTAGCCAATTCATCTTCTTCATCATCACGACCGCCAACCAGCTTGCTCACGTCGATCACTGGAACTTGAACAGACTCATCTTTAGAAACTGGATCCAGCTCGAGTTCAGGACGTACATACCTAGTTGGTATGTCCTTCAAGCTCCTAGCCAGCTCTTGAACACTGGGGGCAGCAAGAGAAACTCCAAGCTCCATTCCCAGCACTTGCCAGAACACGTCTTCTGAAGATATAGATGAACTATAAAGTCAGCACAAATGAAATAACAGCATATGAACATATTACAAGACAGGGTAAATGGGCAAAACCTGGAATATAGCTTAGATTGATGTGGGAAAGCAATGCAGCAGCGGCGATTTATAGGTTTACCTGATGGAGAACAGGTGAAACAAAAGGTCAGTTATTTATAGCAAGTCTCAATAGGCTATTCCCTGATGTAAACTGGAAGAACATGCGGCAGAACGGACCGTTTCTTGATTCGGGCAATTCATGTTTGAGAGGCCATGGTGGGTGAACGGACGAATTGGTGGCATGGCGGACACTTGGAAGAACAGCTGAATAGATTTGATTCATGCATTTCATGTTTGAGGGGCCATGGTGGATGAACGGGCGCATTGGCGTTATTTGCTGGCATGGCGGACACTTGGAAAGAACAGCTGAACAGAGATCGCAGCAAATCACTGACCACCGTCTGAAATTTCCCGGCGATGTTACTCACCCTATCGTTCCTCGCCCCGACAAACAATTTCCGGCGGCCTGCTTGTGCGACACTGGTTCTCTGAAAGACGGCCAAGTCGGCTTCTTCGATGTTGAATTGATCGTCCGCTGTTAACGCTCTCAACTTCCTTCACTCTCGGAACCCTAATCCTCCTCATTGTCGGAGCTCCGAAAACGGGGCCAGCGAACAGTAATTCTGCCGTATCTACGAAGCTTCTTTTACTGCTTCACAGTCTTGGTTGGGCCCATCGTTTTCCGAGCCTTGTTGGCAAGGATGAAGTGTTCGCTCATTAAATATGGGCCTGTAAAAAATTGGGCTTTGGGCCCATAATTTTCTCAACCCACTTATTACTCCAATCCCTCATTCCCAAAATCGGCTTTGAGGAACTCACTCCTAGGGATGGCACGGGTTGGATTTTGCCAAGTCCCAAACTCAAATTTATACGTTTATCCGTTAAGAAGACTCGTGGTAAAATCATTGGATTTGGAAAACTCAAACCCAACCCGCAGAGTATCTAAACGTTCATGAGTACTCAAGAGTTTCTGTGGTAAAAAATTTACAATAACAAGTTTCCATCAAAATAAAATTCAAATATCAATTTGCCCATACAAATTATCCATACATAAAAAGTTAGTCCAGAAAATTCAAACAAAATCACTATTACACTAAATAAAAGCACACAATTATTTGTTATTCATTCCCTTTTATTTGTGAGATAGGAGCAAACCAATTAACCAACAAACATGGTGTGTTCAACTTCCATTATTAATTTATTCCTCACACCTCTTTTGGGAAAAAGGGAACAATATCTTGCTGGTGAAAAATAAAACATACAGTCAACTTTCTGAGAGAAGCAAGGAAGGATTTGTCATTGGGGGTCGTATGGGGAAGGAGAGGGGTTTTGGGGGAGAGAGCAGAGTTGGGACTGGTGAGGCGGCAGGTGAGTCGTGAGAGTTAGATTGGGGGAAATTAGAATTAGGGTAGGGTTTGGAGAGAGTAGGGCAAAGTAATAAGAGTGGACGGATATCCATGGGTCGGTATCTTTAAACTTAACATTTGTAGGATGGCAAAAAAAAATCAGAATTTTTATTTGGGGCTATAAAGATGGGAAAAGAAAGATCCATCTTGTTCATTGGGACAACATTTGTAAACCAAAGAATGAAGGAGGTTTGAGATTTAGATCTGCCAAGAATTTGAACATGACATTTCTGGTTAAATTAGCCTGCCAGATGCTTAATGATGAGCAGTCTCTCTGGGTGCAGGTTCTGCAGAAAAAGTACTTCAGACATAGTGGCAACAATATCACAACCATGAAAACCAACAATCGCTCACCGTTGTGAAATGGCATCCTGAAGGCCATGCCAATTATGAAGTGAGCAACCTGCTGGAGTGTCAGAGATGGAAAGTCAACAAGCTTCTGGTGCCATCCATGGATCAACGAGGGGATTGTCTTGGAGGACTTCCTCCTTTCTAGCATTTCTGATGATGAAAAGGATGAACCACGGTGTAATTGGGTGAATAACTCTGGGACTTGGGACTTGGGAGAGGCTAAATGGTCTTCTACGTGATGCTATGTTGTCCCTTCTTGCAGGTACTGACACTCCAAAGCAGAACCTGGGAGAGAACACAACAATCTGGGGATTTGAACCAGATGGTAGGTTCCGATTGAAGTTGGCTTACAAACTGGTTACCAATGAGTTGGACTTGGCAGGAAGGGAAGAATGGAAACAACTCTAGAAGTGGAAGGGATCTAATTGTAAGAGTGTGGTATAAGATCCAACAGAACTTTCTCCCAACAACTCGAGTTATTGGGACCAACTGGTTCTTTACATGGTATCAGAGTAGGTTTGGCCAAGTGATCGTGTGTTCAAATCTCCACGAACCCAATATTAACCTTTGATTAAAGCATAAGGTATGGTGGGCCTGTGCAAACTTCAAGCCCATGGGTTGTTTTTCGTTTGAGGGGGCGTGTAAGAGTGTGGTATAAGATCCAACAAAACCTTCTCCCAACAACTCGAGTTATTGGGAGCAACTGGTTCTTGACACTAACAGAATCAGACACTTCCTCTGGTTAACCTTGCATGATCGCCTTCTGGCCAATCAGGAAAGGCTCCGGAGAAAACTGACAGACAATGGCAACTGCAAACACTATAATGGCATCGAGGAAACTACAGAGCACATCCTTTGTCACTATAAGAAGACCAAAGAGCTTTGGAGAAGACTCAGACACTCGGTTACAGTGCAGAACTAGAACACAAGCTTCGGGGACTGGTTTATCAACAACATCAAAGATGAAGAGAAATTGACTGATTTTGGCATTATCCTTTGGCACTTGTAGAAGGAGAGGAATGAAAAAGCTATGGAGGTGAAGACCTACAACGAGCAAAGCCTCATCCATAGGATCCTTGCCTGCTTCAACATTGTGCGAAATGCACAAATTTTTGACAGGTAGGACACCCGCGGAGGAAGACGACCAAACCTTGCTTGGACTCCACCAAGTGAAGGGTGGATGAAAATCAACACTCATGGATCAGTGCTCACTAGGAACAAGGCAACAGCTGGTGGTTTAATTAGAGATCATACTGGAAGGTGTCACAAAGACTTCTTGGCCATCCTCGACACTTGTTCTATCACGAGAGCATAGCCGAAAGCTGTGGAAACATGCCTTTCTCGTGCTTGGGAGCTCGGCTTCAAGAAAGTATGCCTCTCTACCGACTCAACCACAACCATCAGCATCATTAAGAACAAAAAATGAAGTGAATCACAAACATGGATCTCAACGCTGGAGATTAACCGGCTTTTTGGATCTTGATTGGGAGGTTTCTTTATCCCACACCTTTTGAGAATGTAATTTTGCGGCTGATTTTCTTGCTTGTAAGGGACCCAATCTTGATTTTGGCACACATCCTATCGATGAGTTCGATCCAGGTCTTTGTTACTGGATTAGTCTTGATGTAATGGGTATTACCCATGAACGTTCTATTATCAATGTGATCTAAGACACCTTAGCGTATGTCTTTTACAAAAAAAGCTACTGACAATTAATCCAAAGAACGCATATGGGTATCAGGCCACCGTACTTCTCTGTCTCTAGGGTTTTAGATCACACCTTCTTCATGCAACAATGGTGATGGCGACTTTGAGACGCGAAGGGAGGCGATTCGCCGGCTCCATCACAGCTCCCCGACCAATGCCCGCAATCCGATCCGCTCCTATTTCTGAGTATGTCGATCTCTTGGTTTATCCCCTTATTCTGCATCTCTCTTTGTCCCATTTCCTGGTCTATTTTTTCTGGCACGAGACATCGTAGAGCACATGATGACGAGCCAACGAGATCCTTTTTTGTGCAGAAGTGGTAAAAGAGCTAAGGAACCAAGTAAATTGTCCCCAAAAGTGGCTACACTATTGGGTATCCTGATTACTTTTGCTGCAAAGATGTCCATGATTCCACAGTAGAGAGCATGTGTCTCATTGACATTTGCAAGATGCATGACATGCAACTAAATTTTAGCACTGGCACCTTGCAGACGTACTTAAGGTTTACCCCTGAACCTATAGAGGAAGCAACCTTCTATCTGGCCTATATACCAGTAGCGGAGTGGTTGCTACTTTCAATTAGAAAACTCAAATTGAGCAAGGCAAGGGAGGAAGCAGTTGCTCTTTCTACACTGGTATAGTGTAAATGCTAGTGGAAGGTTGTATGTTCTGTTGAACTGGGATATGAATGAATGCATCTGCATTCTGCAGTACATTTTTGTAGAAAGATGCGACGAAGCAAAAACTCTGTCTTCTTCCATATGAATATGGCTGGCCACATATTTTAATTCTCTTTTGGAGTATGGACTTTGATCGGTCTCTTTTCATTTTTTATGAACATCTCTATATCATGTGTTCTTTCTCTTATGCCACTGGTCAGGACTATGAATTCAGTTTCTCCATTTGCTTCACAATATCAATATTGTGGACAACAATATACTTCTGCTTCCAACAGGTTTCTCCGGAAGATCAACTTTGATTATGCAGGTCTAAAAGGTTTTCAGTGTCTTCTGTTTTTCGTTATCCAGGCAACTGACTGATCCTAGGCTGTCAAACGTAGGGGGTGTTCAAATGGTGTGGTTACCGTGGTAACCGTTTTAATCGATAGTATTTGGATAATTTGGTTTGGTTAATTTGGATAATTGGTTTGGTTTGGTTAATTTTTTAGCTTGTTTGGTTTAGATGGTTTGGTTTGGTTTCAGACACGACTAACCAATCAAACCAAATTAACCAATTAAATAATTAGTCATATATATATAATATATTATACACACATACTTAATACTTTGCATAACCACTTAAGAGCATGGTCCATGATACCGGATCGGACCGGCCGGTTGAACCGATAAAACCAAAAATCGGGCAAGATCCGAAACGGCAATCTAAACATGGGCAAATTACCGTGCCGGCCGATATTTGCGGTGGAATCGGCCTGCCGCGAAATACGGGACGGTTCTGATCATGCCGTCAGTTCTGATCTAATCCTAATTGAGATATCATCTCATCTGCTGCTACCGAATCGACTCACCTATCGGAGGCAGTAGCTCGCTACACCAGCCCCAACAAATCTACTCTTCGTCTTCTTCCCCCTGATCTGTGTGGGTCGTCGCCATTTGCCGTTGTTTGAGCCTAACTGGGTGTAGGAGTGAGACCCGGGAAGATGGGTCAAGGAGAGCAAGCAATGGGAGAATAACTGTCGATGGAAGAACTGAAGAAATTACGATTAGAGTCGAGAGGGAAAATCTTTAGAGAGAGAAGTTGATAATTCTCGAGATAGAGCCAGAAAAATCCGATCCCCTCACCCACCGGAGTAAATGCCATATTTATAGGCTACATGGTGGTGGGTGAGTGGTTGAGTTACATGTGGGTACAATGACATGACCACTGACATGTCAGGGATTTAGGCCATGCTTATACCTAGGACATGTCAGAGGCTTACCTATGACTGTGCTTAGGACCCTAATGTGACTACCCCTCGGGAAGCGAGACGACGCTTTCTGCGGCTCTTTGGTCTGGTCAACGCCTTGATCCTTCCACGTGCGCGTAGCTTGTGTCGCGCTCGAGATCTTCGCGCTAGTCTGCCTTCACAATGTCGCGCTCGAGGCCTTCGCGCTGAACCGCGCTGGGGGCCTTCGGTCGCGTCGCTTCCTGCAGGGTTTGGCGGTATTTAGGGTAGTGTCGGTGAATTCCTCTGGCGCGGCAAGGTCCGAGTCACATGCCCAACAATTGCCCCCCATCAGGGGGTGTTCTGTGAATACCACCTGTTTAGGCTTCCGCTTGATTGACTCGGGCCTGCATGATTTCCGCGGGGTAAGTTTTCTGGGCTCGTCACCAATATCGCTGATCTCCGCGCTGATTTCCACCTGATTGGAGTCGTGCTGATCGCGCGATTTTCGTGGGATTCTTCACTCGTTGTGCGCGTTACTTTTAAGTTGAGGGTGGGTCGCTCGAAGTTGCGCTTGGGGTGTTTTCTTTCCTCGCGCGTATGCCCCCCGCTGTGCGCGTTACTTTGAGCTACGCGCGACGCTGTCGCTTGTTTTGTCCTCGCGGGTATGCCCCCCGTTGTGCGCGTTACGTTGAGGTGGGTGCGCGCTACTTTTAAGTTGGACTTGGAGTGTTTTTTCTTCCTCGCAGGTGCATCATGCCCCCCAGGCGGTGCGCGGCACTTGTGGCGTCATCGACTAGTGCCTATGATGGTAGGTGTCCACGTGTCCCTGCATGATTGGGCTACTTGGGCGGGGATTTTTTGAAATTCTAAAAGATTTTGACGGTTACGGATCCCTATGTGACTTTAACTCTTCGTTTTCCCCTGGCCGACTATAAATATGGGCTGGCTGTGTGGGAGTGAGACTCATCTGTCTCCTTCGACTCTGCTTCCTGCTTCTTCGTTCTATTTCTTCGTTCATCCCTTCTCTGAGATTCCTCTCCTTCTTCTACAACCTCGATTCTCCTTTTGCTGTTGCTAAAACTCCAGTTATTATCATGGCTAGCATCAACATTGACGAGACCGAGGTCGTGCAAGGCGAAGAAGGTAATCTCTCCCCTCTTTCACACACTTCTACTGATCGTTCGCTGGAATTGGGCGGTTCCGGTGATGGGGACGGCGGCGGTGATGATGGGGTTCCGGTGACGCCGTCGTTCGACATCGAGTCGGAGGATGACCTCGGCGGTTCTCCCGACGTGGGTATGGTTGCCTCCGGGAGCGAGGAGGTGAGACAAGAAGCTCATGGGGTGTTGATAATCCGGCGTGATCGTGATGGGAGGCCGGTGGTTGCCAACGAAGAGGCGCGCGAAGAACAAACAGAGCCGCATCACGTTGTGCGCGTATCTGAAGCCATGGCCCGACTAGGGTTACGCGGTGTTGGCGCCGCGTATACTGTTATAGAGTGGGCAGAGATGTGGGGCGATCAGCCGGCGCAGCACGACAATCTCAAGCGCGGGCCCGACCACGCCTCTATTTATGATGTTGGTGACGTGGAGGAGATAGTCCGCGGACTGGGCTTGCCCCCCCATTGGGAGTACGCCGCTCCTTCTACGCGAAGCATGGTGGGCAATTGCCCGGCGGGGTGGTTTGGCGTGTATACAGAGTATTGGGTGATGGGGTTTAAGTTCCCCATCGACCTGCTCTTATGCGCTTTGTATAGGCGCCTTAAATGCTCCGTTGGGCGGCTCTCCCCATCTGTGATCATGCACGCGAGCTGTCACCGCCTCGCGTGCAAAAGGCTTAACATCGAGCCGACTTACAGCCTGTTCCGGAAGATTTATAAAATCAAGGAGACAACAACAAGAAGCGACTGCCTTTCCATCAAGCGTCACGACAAGAGGCCCGACGGCTTCGTGTATGGATCGCCCAAGTTAAAGAAAATTTGGTTCGAGCGCTTTTTCTACGTCAAGCCCGTTCCTGAAGAGTGGGCGAGTGAGTTTGTGGAGGAGCCTACTGTCTGGAAGAAAGGCAGCACGCTCGGAGTATGAGGCGGATGCCGGCGCCTATGACGGGCTCAACGATGAGTATGAGGCGTGCATGCCTCATAGGATCAATTTATACGAGGGGGGAGTGCGCGAGGCTTGTTTGCAGGAGCTGTTCGACGATGGTTAGTTGAATTTCTTTTCTTTTGCATTCTATCATATTAACCGCTCTCTTACAACTTATTGGCGCATGTGTTGACTTCTCCAACATGGTTAGCGTGATGTCGGTTGACGACGTTGTGAAGGCACTACACGCTGACAAGAAGAAGAAGAAGAAGGAGAGCGCGGTGCCGAGGGGCGCGAAGCGGAAGGAAATTGAGCAGCCACTGGCGGTTGTAAAGCCCCGTAAGACGGCTCGTGTTGCAGAACCAACTGCGCAGGCGGCGCAGGCTCCACAAGCGGAACGACCATTATCTGACGCGCGGCAGCTATCTTTGGCGCTTTCAGAACCGGAGGCGCCGGTGAGTAGGCCTTCTCGGTCTGAGAGAGAGGTGGCTGGCAGCTCGTCGCGGCCACCGTCCAACAAAAGCTGCCCGAGATGGCTGGCTTTGAGGGGACTCCCGCAACTACCGCTCCCGGCGCCGCTGCTGTCAACTACTTCCGCGATGTGCGGATTCACACCGCGGCGGCTTGCAATCTAGCATCCGCGAATACCGCGTTCTTGGCGCTCGGGCCTGTTCTGAGTGTTCCGCCGCGGGTGGAGAAGTCTGATCCCCTTCATGACTTGGCTCAGATCCACTTCGCAGTAAGATCGGGTTGAGTTCTCGCGGAGTTCCAAGTTATCTCATCTCTCTTTTTTATTTTTATTGAATGCAATGTTTTGCTAAGTCTTTTAGCATTGTCGTTGTAGGGTTTGTCAACGACCTTCCGGGCTCAGAAGGAGCGCGCGGCGCAGCGCGCAAGGATACAGGCCGACGAGGTGAAGATCGTCCAGCTAGAGAGGAAGGTTGTTGGTGCTAACAATCGTGCCGACGTGGCAACGAATAAAGCCAACGAGGCGATGGAGGAGCTCGGCGTGCTGCAGAGCAAGTTGGCCGCCGACATGGAGGCGGCTAAAGAGCAGGTGCGGGTCGAGGAGCGCTCCGCCATCCGCCAACAGCTGGAGGCCTCTTACGCTGGAAGCTGAAGCAAGCTCGCGAAGAGCTACAAAAGGAGAAGGACGACCTGGTCCGCCTTCACAGTATCGCGAAAGCGGAAGCTGTTCGTGCGGCCGAGGTCGCGGCCGTTCTTCAGTTCAAGTTTTCTCCCTCTTTCGGGAAGATTTTAGCGGACGCCATGACCAAGGCCGTGATCGCGGTCGGGAAGAAGGTTCGGCCGGAGAACCCGAGGGTTCGCTGGGATACTCGCGAGATGGTTCAACACGTCCAGATGTGGATTGGCGAGAAGCGGCCCTTGGAGTCTGACTCCGAGTCAGGGGATGAGGAGGAGGATGAGGAAGGAGAAGAGGAGGAGCGCCCAGAAGCTGAGGGCGCGAGTAGGGATGGCGAGCAAGCTGATGATGACGAGGAAGAGGACGTTCAGCCCTTGCTGCGCCGCAAGCAGAGTAAAGAGGATGTTCAACCTGACACTGATGGCGCTTAAGTGTTATCGCACTGACGTGCTTTCCTTTTTTGATTTTGCTGCTTTGTTGCCTTTCTTGTTTTCTTTTCCCTCTTATTTTTTTTTATCAAGTGTAGTTGCGAGCAATGTTGATGCTCCTGCTTAATCGAATCCAAAGAGTCCTCATTTATGGCGTTTATTTGTTCCTTCGAATCGAGTGGGCGCGAATACTAATTTTTGGTCTTGCGAAGTGTGTGGACGCAAATAGTGCATGACTATCGCTATTTTCGTTCTTGCGAATTTAGTGGGCGCGAATAGTGCGGGACCATTGCTAATTTTTTGTTCTTGCGAACTAAGTGGGCGCGAATAGTGCTGGACTATTGCTAATTTTTGTTCTTGCGAACTAAGTGGGCGCGAATAGTGCAGGACTATTGCTAATTTTTTTTCTTGCGAACTAAGTGGGCGCGAATAGTGCAGGACTATTGCTAATGTTTGTTCTTGCGAACTGAGTGCCTTTCATTCCTTTGCGACAAAGCGCCATAACGAGCAAAATACATATTAAGTTGCCTGGTGATATTTCATGAGATTTTGCGCGTTCCACGTTCTTTGTATCTTGTTGCCCCCCAACTCGCTGAGTTTGAAGGTGCTGGCGCTGATCACTTCGCGGATTAGGTATGGACCCTCCCACACTGAGGCGAGCTTTCCGTGCTTAGGATCGGGACGGAAGTTCCGCCGTAGTACTTAGTCTCCGAGGATCAACTTGTGTGGAACCAGCTTCGCGTTGTGGTACTTGACTACCTGCTCTTTCATTGCGGCCAGCTTGATTGCTGCCAACTTGCGCCTTTCCTGTGACAACTCTAGCTCCAGCAAACGCGCTTCATCATTGGTTTCTTCGTTGTACCTCGTGATTCGATAGGTCGGGGCTGTTGTCTCTATGGGAATTACCGCGTCGGTGCCGTATGTAAGGGCGAACAGGGTTTCGCCCGTTGCCACTTTGTTTGTGGTGCGGTGCGCCCATAGCACTGTGTTGACCTCGTCAGCCCAATTACCTTTGGCATCGTTCAAGCGGGTGTGCAAGCGTTGCAGGATTGCTTTGTTGGCAGATTCTGCTTGGCCGTTGGCTTGGGGATAAGCTACCGATGCGAACCTTGCAATGGTTCCCACTTGGTCGCAGAAATCTATCACTTCTGCGCAGTCAAACTGCTTCCCATGATCAAAGATGAGCGCGTTCGGGACTCCTAAGCACGACAAGATGTTGTTCTTCAGGAAGCGCGTCACTTGTTGCGCCGTTATCGAGGCTAGTGCTTAGCTTCGATCCATTTGGTGAAGTAGTCTACTGCCACAATAATGTATTTGCGCTTCCCTTTTGCTGTTGGGAAGGGACCCAAGAGATCCACTCCCCATTGCGCGAAAAGCCATGGGCTCAGGTTGGCTTGGAGCTCGGTGGATGGGAGATGGTGCTGACGCGCATTGATTTGGCACTTGTGGCACTGGTCCGCGTATTTCTTTGTGTCCTTTTATATTCGCGGCCAGTAGTATCCGTGCAGCAAAATGGTGCGCTCCATGCTGCGTGGGCCGGCGTGCATTGCGCACAACCCTTCATGTAGGTCACGTACCATGTCGCGCGCCTCTTCTTGTCCGATGCACTTTAGGTAGACACCCGAGAACGACCGTCGGTACAGTTCTCCTTCAATGATTGTGCATCGGGCCGCCTTTTGCCTCAACGTCCATGCCTCTTTAGCGTCCTCCGGTATCGTACCGTCTTGTAAGTACCGCACAATTGGGGTTCTCCAATCCTCATTGTTCATGAGTTGGGTGGTATTAATCGCCACTTCTTGGCGATTTTCCTCTTCTTCCTTCTGTACCGACACGAGACGAGTTGTCTCGAAGTCGGTGGCGGTCGCTAGCTTGGATAGCGCGTCGGCGTGCACATTTTCCTCTCTCGGTATTTGCACATAAGTTACCACCTCGAAGGTGGCTGCCTGCAGCTTGACACGCTCCATGTAATGCGCTAGGGTGTCTTCCTTTGCGTCAAAGGTTCCATTCAGTTGGTTGAATGCCAAAGAGGAGTCGGAAAGTACCCTTATTGTTCTTGCGCCCAATTCGTGGGCGGCAGTCATTCCCGCCATGATGGCCTCGTACTTGTCCGCGTTATTCGTCTTCAACGCTCTGAATCTGATTGCTATCTCGTGAACGGCGCCTGTGGGTGTGCGCACGACGACCCCCGCGCCAGCACCATGTTTACTTGCCGCTCCGTCGACATAAACCTCCCATACCCCCTCTGGTGTTGTTTCGAGGGTGACTCCTTCAGCGATGAAATCTGCTAGGATTTGGGTTTTTATTGCTGGTCTTGGCGCATATTGGATATCGTACTCTGAGAGTTCGACCGCCCATTTCATCATGCGCCCCGACACTTCCATCGAAGTTAAGATTTTCTTTAGCGGGAGGTTGGTCAGGACAGTGATCTGGTGCGCTTGGAAATAGGGACGCAACTTCTGTGACGCGCTTACCAATGTTAGGGTAGTTTTCTCTATTGGGGAGTATCTTGTTTCTGCGCTGACTAGCGTACGCGAAGTATAATACACAGGTTGCTCGGTATTATCATTTCTTCTGGATATCAGGACTGCGCTCACAGCTCCTTGGTGCCCGTAGTTGTTGGACCGCCGTGATTTGTTTTGGGTCTACCTCGATGCCACGCTTCGTTATCATGAACCCAAGAAACTTCCCTGCTTCTGCTCCAAAAACACACTTCAGTGGGTTCAAGCGGAGGCTGTGTTTGTGGAGCGCCTCGAATGTCTCTCGCAGGTCCTCCAGATGCAAGTTGCCGGCCTGGGTTTTGACGATGAGGTCATCCACATACGCCTCGATGTTCCGCCCCCTCTGTTGTGAGAACACTGCGTCGATCATCCTTTGGTATGTCACGCCCGCGTTCTTCAGTCCGAACGACATTTCGACGAAACAAAAGTTTCCGAAGGGAGTCATGAACGCCTTTTTTTCCTCATCCTCGCGCGACATTGGGATTTGGTGGTATCCTGAGAACATGTCCAAGAAAGACAGTGTCTCGTGGTCGGCAGTGGCGTCGATCAGTTGGTCAATGCGCGGCAAGGGGTAAGGGTCTCTCGGGCATACTTTGTTGATTGTTGTGTAGTCGACGCACATCCGCCAAGCCCCTGAAGACTTTTTCACCAGGACCACGTTCGCCAATCACTTCGGGTATTTGACCGAAGGATCAACCCTGCCGCCAACAGTCGCACCACCTCCTCTTCGATGGCTTTCAGTTTGTCGCCAGTGAAGCCGCGTCGCGCTTGTTGCCTCGGAGGCGCGCTAGACGGGACTGCGAGGCAATGTTGGGCTACATGCCTTGGTACCCCGGCATGTCTTCTGTGCACCAGGAAAATAGCTCCTTGTATTCCTTCAGTAGCGCTATCAACGGCTCAATCGCGTCGTCGCGGACGTGAGTCGAGATGCGTATTTTTCTAGTCGGCTCGGTTGGGTTGAGCGCGACCTCGAAATCAGAATCCATCGATTCCGGGCGGGGTTCCTCTGGCCTTGTGTCGACAATGTTGGTTTGTCGGGCCTCTCCTTCTAGCTTTGGGGCTCCCCATGGCGTCCCGCGCGCCTCTCCGGTTCCCATCTTAGTGGGGAACTTAAGATTCTGGTGGCATGTGGATGGAAGGGCCATGAATTTTGCTAGGAAGGGTCGGCCCTAGATGCCGTTGTGGGACGATTTACAGTCGACTATTGTGAACTCGACTTGCTTTGAGACGTGCGGTTCTTGGTCTCCGATAACAACAGGAAGAGTTACCACACAAATTACTGGAACCCTCGTTCCAGAGAAGCCGACCAAGTTCCCTTGGGCGCGCTTGATTAAGCGCGGGTCGATGTCCATTTTGTCGATAGTGCTTTGGAAGAGGATGTCTGCCGCGGCACCTCCATCTATCAGTAGGCGGTGTATTTTGCAGGCGGCCACTAAAGCGGTGATGATGAGTGGGTCTTCTGACGGAATTCCTTGCGGTAATTCGATGTCGTTGAAGCTTAGTTGGCCCCCTGTTTGTACGTCCGCCGCTGCGAATTCGATCGCTCGTTCGCGCTTAGTTTTCTTTTTCGGACGATCTCCTTTCACTGTCACCACCCCTATTTCTTTTCGTACTACATACGCTCCAGCGGCTTCGTTGTAGTCGGCTTGTGGGGGTGGTGGCGGGTTTTGGGGTCCCCCTACTTGTTCCTCTTTTTCGTGTGTGAACTCGGCCAGCAATCCTCGTCGTATGAGGCCTTCTATTTCGTAACGTAGTTCTTGGCAATCTTCCGTCCAGTGCCCCGTTTCTCTATGGAAGTCGCAATGCTTTTTTGGGTCACGCATGTGGGGTAAGGACTTCAAAGGCGCGGGCCAATTGAGCTTGTAGCCCTTTTCGCGGAGAACGTGGAACACGTTCTTCACGGAGTCGTTAAGCGGTGTGAAGGCGTGGGATGAGCGCCTGTCTGGCGATCTTCCTCGCTGAGCTTGTTCTTGTGGGGGAGGGGGATGGCGCTTTTGCCCTCTGTGTAGTTGCGCCAATTGGTCTTGCGGAAGCGTGAGCTGCCGACGTCCCTGTTCTTCTCGCGGCAACTTGGCTGGCTCGAAGCGCCTAACAGATCCCACTCCAAGGGTTTCTTCCAGCGTAATTGCCTTCTCAATCTTCATCTCCAACTCTGTCGATAGAGTTATAGGCCTTTTTGCTATCGCCAAATTGAGTTCCATGTTGGTGGTGGCTTCCATAAGGTGATGGGCGGCGGTTTCGGGGGTAAGGTCGCGCACTGCCATCGCCACCCTGGACCATCTAGCGTAAAATGTTCGCAGGCTTTTCCCATCCTTTTTCCTGATGTCTATCAGTTCCTTGAGGTGGAGAGGCCTTCTCTTTTGGGATGCGAACTTCGTCGTGAATAGGAGTATGAACTCCTCAAATGAGCGGATGATCCCATTCGGGAGCCTATTATACCAATCAAGGCATATTCCGGAGAATGTTGATGGGAAGGTTCGGCATAGTGCCGCGTTGGAGTTGGTTTGGAGTTGCATCCGCAGGCAGAAGGTGCTCACATGGTCTTCGGGATCAGTCGTCCCGTTGTATGTTGGGAGGGCGGGTGGCATTCCGCTCAGGTGTTCCGCCATGATTTCCGCGCTTAGCGGCTGGTGGAGCGCCCTCTTGGGTGGGTTGGGTCGGTATTGCGGAGACAAGTGTTGCTCCAGAAAACTGAGGTCTACCCTACCCGGCGGCTCAGCTTGTTGCGCTTCACACGCAGGGAATTCGTTCGGCGCGAGTTGTGGCGCGCTTGTTGTCGCCTCAACTGGTGGCAGTGCGGATGGTGGTGCGCTTGTTGCCGCCTCCACTGTTGTTGCGGCCTCTTTGCTCATCATGAGCGCTATGACCTGGCTCATTTGCTTTTGCATATCGGCTATGACGTTGTTCTGCTTCGCCATTAGCTGCCTCATTTCTCTGGCGGTCATCTCGGGTTCTTCTTCTTCGATAAGCACCGCGTTGAGGTTGCTGGTTTCTGCGAACGTCCTTGGGTCGGTCATTGCTTTGATGGGTGTCGCTTCATCTGGTAAGTTGGGATTGTGTTCAGCCATTGGTTGTTTTTCTTTTGCTTCTCTACTTGGCCCTACGGTGGGCGCCAATTGTTTGAGCCTAACTGGGTGTAGGAGTGAGACTCGGGAAGATGGGTCAAGGAGAGCAAGCAATGGGAGAATAACTGTCGATGGAAGAACTGAAGAAATTACGATTAGAGTCGAGAGGGAAAATCTTTAGAGAGAGAAGTTGATAATTCTCGAGATAGAGCCAGAAAAATCCGATCCCCTCACCCACCGGAGTAAATGCCATATTTATAGGCTACATGGTGGTGGGTGAGTGGTTGAGTTGCATGTGGGTACAATGACATGACCACTGACATGTCAGGGATTTAGGTCATGCTTATACCTAGGACATGTCAGAGGCTTACCTATGACTGTGCTTAGGACCCTGATGTGACTACCCCTCGGGAAGCGAGACGACGCTTTCTGCGGCTCTTTGGTCTGGTCAATGCCTTGATCCTTCCACGTGCGCGTAGCTTGTGTCGCGCTCGAGATCTTCGCGCTAGTCTGCCTTCACAGTGTCGCGCTCGAGGCCTTCGCGCTGAACCGCGCTGGGGGCCTTCGGTCGCGTCGCGTCCTGCAGGATTTGGCGGTATTTGGGGTAGTGTCAGTGCATTCCTCTGGCGCGGCTAGGTCCGAGTCACATGCCCAACAACTGTGTTTGTAGATCTGCCTCTACTATGTTTTTCTCCCAGCCAGCAATCCATGTTCATCGTTCGTCGTCTTCTCCTCGCCTGCTCGTCGTCTTCCCCCGGCCGTTCGTCTTTGCCGTCGTGGTCGCCGTCTTCATTCCCGATTCCACCGAGGTCATCGATAAGCAACCTCCATATATTCTCTGCCAGCGACCTTCTGCTCTTCAATCTCTGGCGACACCATCACCCAACCAGGTTTGTTCCTTCTACCCGCTACGTGTATCATCCGTCAACATGCCCCTCACCGGAACCTCGCTTGTCCCTTCCCCCGCCATCACACGCCTGTCCTTTCTCCCTTTCAATTTTGATATCCATTTCGCTTTTGCAGGTTTCTCAATTGATTAGTTGGTTGGCTGGAGCAAAAGAAAATTGTGTGTGATATAATTGATTTTGGATAGAAATTGATTTGTATAGATTAGGGGCAGGGTGATTTCGGCTAGCTTTGAAGAGACATAATGGGTTGACAGAAACAGTGAAGTGAGATAACTTGCAGGGGCAGGGTGATTTCGGCTAGCTTTGAAGAGACATAATGGGTTGACAGAAACAGTGAAGTGAGATAACTTGCAGGGGATTGTGGGTGCTTTGAGTTTGTTTCTGTTTCCATTGTCATATGCAACAAAACACTAATCATGATTTTCTTTTTCCCGAGTTATCTGTTAATAATCATAGACTGTTTTTGTTAAAATAAAAGTTAGGACGAGAATTAGTTATCCCTTAATAAAGGGTTAGTAAATCGTTGATCAATAAATTTATATTCATCCAATAAAATTCTCTTCAACATGTATATGATTTGGTGCTCATTTGCAAATTGCTGAAAAATTGTCCGACATATTCCGATACATCTGGTATTACTCCGAAACGGTATCTCAATTTTGCAGGCACTTTTTTTGATACAAAAAAATATTTTTTATTACTAAAACGGTATTTATCGGTATGAAACGAGTGAACTACGGTCGTACCACAAAATACCCTACCAGAAAGGAATCCGATATGATGTCCGGTACGGTTTCCTTTACCATGCTTAAGAGTCAAATGTAAGATAATTGTATTAATTACATGTATTTATGTTAAGAGTTAACTATAATTATTTGTTGATTGTTATGTGTTATTCATTATAAATTGCAAATCGATGCACTAACCAGAAAATTTTCTCACTTAATGATAATGTGGTGGTATATTGGTTATTTTGGTTAACCAATTAACCAAACCAATTAAACTTTAGTTTGGTTAATTTGGTTTTTGTATTAGTTTGAACGGTGTGGTTATGATATTGTATTCCATGGTTAATAGAATTTATATTTATTTGGTTTGATAATTACCATGGTAACCATTTGAACACCCCTAGTCAAACGGTTACTGGGTTTTGAGTTAACCGCAATCAAACCGTAATAGTGCGGTTAGTGGTTAATCGTTCTTAAATGAGCGCGGTTAGTAATATGACCTATTTTATCGAACAAGAGATACTCGTTTTGTTAACCGCTTAAATAACCGCATAAGCTAACCAACCCAAAAAAGATTTGGGTATGCCTACTATGACATGCATGTCACCGTGACATGGACTTTTCGGTCGACCTAATCATGAAGGCGGTCGACCGAATTGACTAATTTGGGCAGCACGAGAAAGCATTGCGGTCGACCTCAAAGACCACCTGGTCGACCGTTCTTAGCTTAAGTTGTTATTTTTGGTTGACCAGAATAAACCTCGGTCGACCATTTTGTTGGCGTCAGAAACAACATGGTCGACCGTAAAGGTATATAGGTCGACCACTTGATGGCAGTCATTAACAACATGGTCGACCAGATAAAGAAAGAGGTCGACCAGATAGACGATAAGTGTTCTATCAATTTAGCCAATCATTTGACGTAAAATGAAGATCAAGTGTTGGTGTCGAGGTCGACCGAATACAAGAAAGTCAACCTATGCCCCATGTCTTTTTTGCTTATGTATGTCGATTTGTGTGGTTCTTTTGCTCGTATAAATTACGCTTTAAACCATCATAACTAGTCATAAATAATGATAACAAGGACTCATCAATTATGCTATGAATTGAGGTCGACCGCAATGCTTTCTCGTGCTACCCAAATTAGTCAATTCGGTCGACCGCCTTTAGGATTAGGTCGACCGCAATGCTTTCTTGTGCTGCCCAAATTAGTCAATTCGGTCGACCGCCTTTAGAATTAGGTCGACCGAAAAATCCATGTCACGGTGACATGCATGTCACCGTAGCAAAATCCAAAAGATTTACCATATCATGTCACCGTAGCAAAATCCAAAAGGTTTACCATATCCAAGCTAAGCCTGCTCCAAATGTAAATTTCGTCGGGTTCTTTTCAAGTTTCAGCTAGGGAATAGGGTTGCCGCTGTCAAAGAGTAAAGGAGGATGAGTGAAGACAGAAGATTCACCGGAGTCTGGAGCTATACATGATATATTTACCTACTGCTTAGTTTAATATAGTATTTCCAGTTATCAACTCATGCATTATATGTATCGTTTATTTCTTAGTGTTATTGGATGGTAATATAAAAAATGAAGGTCTTTTTTAAGGTTTTCTATGTTTGTTTTCTTTTTTTTTCTTAGTAATTAGATAATGTGAGTTTTACGGATTAATCGCGGGTAACTGTTACCCACATTATACGGTTAATAGGTAACCACCAACAACATATAGTGTGGGACGTGTGGTTAGCAAATCCATCCTTAAATGGATATGAATAACCACACTAAACGGGACAGAATAATCGTAACCACACCGATTGACACCCCTACATCCACCTTCCTCAAACCATGACTCAGAAAGATTTCAAGGTCGTCATTAGACTGCTGCAGATTGGGACTCCTTGTGATTTCTAATTAAAGTTGCAATCTTTTGCTTAGATATGATACTGGGTTTCAGAGTCTGAATCCGGACTACTAATGGTGATATTCTCAATCTGAAACAACAGGCTTCCATTTGCCATAATTTGACACTTTGCAGCTACTTTTTGACCATAGAGGGGCTTGAATTGACTATGCAGCTTCGGTATGTAACTTCATCTGATGAGCGGGGTTTTCGGGTTTTCCCTCCTCATCATAAACTTTTTTCTTTTGACGAAGTCGTTCTGTCATATATTCCAGGTACGGCATGGATTTGTACTTTGGTGCTTGCTTCTTCCCATCCTTACCGCGAATGTCTGGCAAAGGTCCAATCACAGCGTTAGAGTTTGGGTTGTGGAATGTTGCAATGGACAGCCTCTCCTTTTCAGGATTCACCACTGCCCTATGCTCTATGCTCTTGTATTCTCCATTGCTCATGATCTGTTAGTGCATATTCGACATTGTTACCGATATGAATTGGTTTTCTATATATAGATATATCAAAGAGTCTTTAGTTGTCCTAATTAACCCAGTTTCTGCTATTACCTCAATCATCTCGCCAACATTAACGATGAAAGCATCTTGAATGGGATCAATGGGAATCCATTTCCCGTTTCTCTTGATTTGCAAACCTTGTACTTCATTCACTTGAGTCAACAATGTCAATCCAGCAAGGTCCGAATGCGGGGAGCTACCAAGAACCTTGTTTGGTTGCTTACATGGTGGATAATAGTTCGTTCTTACACCTTGACGACCACCTTCGAACAAAGTTTGCAGCTTTTCTGGCTCGAGTCCCAGGTTCCTTGCCATGAAACTCAGCAAGGCAGTATTCAGCTTTTCCATCTCTGTTGAATACTGGTTCAGAGTTTCCCTGCACGGAAAAGGGGCAAGCCAGAGCTTTTGGTTAGTGGTTGGCCTAGAGATGGCACTTCCACTTATAGTCAATTAAGCAAGTGCAGCCAAAACTTTTAGAGTGAAGAAATGTATATGCATTTGGCTAAGTGATGAGAGGGAGCTTACCTGAAAGAAATGGGAACTCTTGGCCAAAACCTCAGGTTTCTTCCATCTCGAGGTTGTGGGAAAATGTAGAGAAAGTCGCTCCAATCTTGCTTTCGCCCTCTTGGTACCACGTGCGACGCCGAATATCGTTGGATGTCATCAGGCAATCGTGCATATTCCATTTTCTCCTGCAGAGGCAGCCTGAAGAACTCTTGAACATCCGCCTTCATTTTCAGAATCACCTCCTCCGCGACTCCATGGTTGATCACCTGCTTTCACATGATACAAAAATGTGCCTCCGATCAGGTTTAGGATTGGTTTCCATGGCAGATTTTTAGAGGACATAATTCATGCAAACCACAATAACACCATAAATTACCATCAAAGTATTGAACTTCCACCAAATCTTTCCAACATTCCGCTTTTCATGACACTCACAATACAAGCCCAAGAGTTAATCTTGAAAGAAAGGAAGACTAAAACTGTTGATTAGTACCTGGAAGAATCCCCAATCTCTACAAGCCGCATGAAGCTTAGCCAATTCATCTTCTTCATCATCACGACCGCCAACCAGCTTGCTCATGTCCATCACTGGAACTGACTCATCTTTACTAACGATATCCAGCTCGAGTTCAGGACGTATAAACCTATCTGGTACGTCCTTCAAGCTCCTAGCCAGCTCTTGAACACTGGGGACACCAAGAGAAGCTCCAAGGTCCATTCCCAACACTTGTAAGAACACTTCTTCTGAAGATATAGATTAACTTTAAAGTCAGGAAAAATGAAATAACAGCATATGAACATATTACAAAACAGGGCAAATGGGGGAAACCTGGAATGTAGATTAGATTGATGTAGGAAAGCAGTGTAGCAGCCGCGATTTATAGGGCTAGATGATGATAACGGGAAGAACATGTGGCAGAATGGACCGTTTCTTGATTCATGCACTTCATGTTTGACGGGCCATGGTAGGTGAACGGGCGAATTGACGCAAATTGTTTGCATGGCGGACACTTGGAAAGAACAGCTGAACAGAAATTGCAGCAAATCCCCGACCACCGTCTGAAATTTCCCGGCGATGTTACTCGCCCAAACGTACCGTGCCTCGACAAACAACATCCGGCGGCCTGCTTGCGCGACAACGGTGATCGGAAAGACGGCTAAATCGGCTTCTTCGATGTTGAATTGATCGCTGCCTGGCCAATAAGTCTCTCATCTTCCTTCGCTCCCAGAACCCTAATCCGCTGTCTTCCTCCTCATCGTTGGAGCTCCGAAACCGGGTCCGGCGAACAGTAATTCTCAGTCGTACTTCTTTTACTGAATTACTGCCTCTTAGTCTTGGTTGGGCTGGGCCCATCGCTTTCCAAGCCTTGTTGGCATTTTACGGGATGAACTGGTCGCACATTGAATATGGGCCTGTTTTTGGGCTTTTTGCCCGGTGGGCTGGCATATTGTGAGGGCTGGCCTGTGGTTATGTCTCTGAAGTCTGAACCCACTTCTCACTGAAATGAGAAATCCCTCATTCCCAAAATTGGCGTTGAGGAAGTCTCCCAGTCCCAGGCAAAGCTGCTGACAATTAATCTAAAGGACTCGTTTTTTCCTCTAGGAGAACGCATCTGGGAATCAGACCACCGTAGTTCTCTGCTTTTAGGGTTGCAGATCACACCTTCTTCACGCAACAATGGCGATGGCTGCTTTGAGACGCGAAGGGAGGCGATTCGCCGGCTCCATCACTGCTCCCCGACCAATGCCCGCTATTCGATCCGCTCTCATCTCTGAGTATGTCGATCTCTTCGTTTATCACCCTTTTCTCCATCTCTCCGCATCTCTTTGTCCCATTTCCTTGTCTATTAATTCTGTCTCGATTTTGGGTCTTATCTTTGGCTGCACGACGGACGTCACCTGCCCCGCTTGAGTATGCAAAAGTTGATTGCTTGGCCGCTGAAAGATAGAGTTGTGCGAAATCAATGGAATTGGTTTAGAAGCCGAATAGTGTGGATAATCCTAAGCCTTATTTTCTTGCCGATTTGAGGATGATGTTGTGTGGGATATTTTCCCTAATGTCAATGAGGTCACAAGTGCAGTTTTGAATGGGATTTTGTGGGATTTGTACTTCCATTTTGTGTTATATTCTTTGATTTGGCATAAAAATGGTTTCTTAAGGAATTGGAAAAATCCTCAACTGGGATTGCCTTTTTGCTGTGATTACATGTACCCAAGGTTGTGTGTCTGAACCCTAGTATCATGTCTCAGTCTTTTGCTAGTTTCTTATCACGCGGGTTTAGGTTAATTAAGGATGATTATTCAAAGTGTGTAGCTTTGAGGTTTTGATACAGTTATTACCTATTTGCTATACTTACATATACTGAATTTTGTATGTGAACCCTGGTATACTGTCTATCTTTTGTTAGTTTCTTATCGAGAGGGCTCGGGTGAAACTTGGATGATTACTCAAAGGGTATTGGTTTAAATTTTTGTATGGTTTTAAGTTTTGATACAATTATTAGCTATAACAAGTTCATTTCCCTACATGGTATAATGGGAAGGAATGTGAAATCTTGTTTATGCGGTGTACATGATGTTAATATCACAACGTGCACTAGTTATAAAACATTTGGAGTAGAGTCGAGAACTTTGGCTGGGTTCTTTTTTCTGAACCATTCTGCTTCTAGCTCGATGGTATGTTATGATTTAAGATCTCATTATCATTTTTCTTACCTTTGTCCTAGTTTAAGGAATTAATTGCTCTTATCTTTTCACAGTGAGCAAGTTCCTCTGGGAGTGCGTTCAATCTCCACTCAAATTGGTGAGAGTTGCTGTCATACCTCTGGGAGTGCCTTCTGGATAAGTCCCAAAAAGAAACAGCTGACTGTTAGTTGTTTACTTTTGCAGTTAGAAACCGGATGAAGAGTGTCAGGAACATTCAGAAAATCACTAAGGCTATGAAGATGGTTGCTGCATCAAAGTTGCGAGCAATTCAAACCAGAGCTGAAAATTCACGAGGCCTGTGGCAGCCTTTTACTGCTCTTCTTGGTGACACTCCTGGTATGGTCACAGTTAAATAATTTCCTATTATTTGAAATACCATGCAAGTTTTATTGTCTACTGCAGTAACTCACTGCTGTTTGTTGTGCTATATTTCACAATTTTACTTGTTGGTGATATGCAGTTATGCTTTAGTTATATCTCGTTTCATGCTGTATGTTTGTTATGGTTTTAATAGGGGTTGAAGTGAAGAAAAATGTCATTGTCACTATTTCCTCTGACAAAGGTCTCTGTGGAGGGATTAACTCTACATCAGTTAAGATAAGCAGGGCTATTCACAAGTTGACTTCTGGTATTCTTCTCTTATTATATATTGCAGAATACTTGCTCCATATAGTTCGTGTTACTTATGCTGATGATCAGTCTGTTGGTTCCTTCAAACTCAAACCTTATGCATAACTGATAGGCCCAGAAAAGGAAGTGAAGTATGTTATCTTGGGAGAAAAGGCGAAAGCTCAACTGATGCGTGATTCAAAGAAAGATATTGAGTTATGCATCACCGAGTTGCAAAAGAATCCTTTGAACTATACTCAGGTTGGTTATGCTTCATAATTTCATGACCTCCATGGCCTATCAATTTTTAATGAATTTAAATAGTAAGTAGTATTGGTGAAGTCAACAATGCATGATTACTATTTGCTGGTGAAGGAACTAGACTGGTATGGTATCTCATAAGCTCTTTGTCCATTTTCCTCTTTGTGGGTTTCTCGGAGTAACCTTAATCAGTGTTTTTCCCCCTTAGATGTTGTAGTAAATGCCCAGCGTCCATTGTTGCCCAAACTATTGGAAGTTTGTTAGGGTGACAGATCTTTTCTTGTTTCCTGGTCTTCTTGTGCACTCAGCTAATGTTGCTTTTCCATTCAGGTTGCCGTGTTAGCTGACGATATCTTGAAGAATGTAGAATTTGATGCTTTGAGGATTGTCTTCAACAAATTTCAGTCAGTTGTCGCATTTCTGCCTACAATGTCGACTGTCTTGTCCCCTGAGGTGATTAAGATTCCTGGATCTTGTCTTTCATACTTATTCATCATGTTTGCCTCCATTTCTTAATCAGAGTACGAGTGATATGTTGATATAGGTTGTTGAGAGAGAGGCCGAGGCTGGTGGAACGCTTGGCGCACTCGATTCCTATGAGATTGAAGGTGGTGAAACGAAGGGAGAAATTCTTCAGAACCTTGCTGAGTTCCAATTCTCTTGTGTAAGCTTTTGTTCTCAATCTTTGTATTTCATGACCATATTTTGATTTCCAAGATAGGTCCCTTGTCTCTCGAAGTTAAGTGCCCCGAATATAATACACTAGGAAAAGACATGATCTTATCATGTAACATGGGTATACGTAATTGTGACCAGTCCTTGCCCAATTTTTACTGCTCAATGTTCTCAAGTCATGTAACTGAGTTGAACTTCTCGTCATGTTCTTTTTTCCCCAGGTTATGTTCAATGCAGTGCTTGAGAATGCATGCAGTGAGCAAGGTGCAAGGATGTCTGCCATGGACAGTTCAAGCAGAAATGCTGGAGATATGCTTGACCGCCTGACTATATTCTATAACAGGTCCCTTTCTTTTCCCCTCCTGCATCTCTTAATATTGGATCATAGATGTTACACTAAATAGAATTGGAGAGTGCAGGCTACATTAAATGAATAAGATACATTGGACCTTGGTGACTAACAGTAACTGATGATGCTGCATACTTTATCGTCTTTTTGACAGGACTCGTCAAGCATCTATCACCACTGAGCTGATTGAGATTATCTCTGGAGCATCAGCACTGGAAGGTTAATCACAACAGATCTCAAACTCTTTGTGATTCTCGTCTGATGGTGACGAAATAAGGTGTTGGCGAAACAAAACGAGTTGCAAGTTTTTGTTTATTGGCGATATCATATCTTTTGAAGATGTTTTGTTGAGCAACTGCAATAAAAACCCTCTTCCCAGCATTGTAGTTTCGTTTCTGGGAAATTGAAACGTGCTTTACCATTACATTACCTTACAGCTTTACTTTTGACGTTGAAATCAACGTGATGATATCGACTGTACATTCTGTTGATTTTCCAACTCTCTTTTTATATTTGCTCGTGGAAAATCCCTACCAGTACTTAGTGGGCATATAAGAGGTCGACATTCTAGCTTAACACTCTCATTGTTGGGCTTCGTGGGCTTCGAAATTCCTTCTCCGTGGGCCGGCGGCAATATCCAACAACTCACTGTTCGCCACTTGCGTCTCGTTCAAGCAAATTGGCGCGTTCTCAGTGGTTCTCTTCTCCGTCTCTCCCGTTCATTAACATTAGAATCAGACAGCAGCCCCTTAATTCGCTATTCGAGTTTCATTGCAGCGCAGAAGGGCAAGCTAAGCTGTTTCCCCATTCAAAGTGAAGATGACTTCCTCTGGCGACCAGGGAGGAATTGACGGCAACGTCGGGTTGGCGGGCACCCGTTTCTTCAAAATCATTCTCCTGCATACCCTTCGGGACAAGAAGCTGGTAACCACAATCTCTTTTACCTGTCTTTGCCTCTAAACCTTGAGCTTGATTTCGTGTTATTGATTTTACCGTTCATATGCATGCAAATGTCGCAGTTGATTCCTGTGAGGTTCGTGAGGAATTTCGGGGAGGGTTTGTCGTCTTCGAGCTCGGCAACTCTGAAGGTTCCAAGCGGCCTGAGTTGGGCGGTGGATCTCGTGAGGGATGAAATTGGGGTCTGGTTTGGCAATGGATGGCAAGATTTTGCTGAATTCCATTCTTTGGAATATGGCCATTTCCTGGTTTTCGAGTACAAGGGTTGCTCCTTGTTCTCTGTAGTCATATTCGATAAAACTGCTACAGAGATTGTGTATCCAATTACGAGAACCTGCAGTAGAAACCAGCAGCCAAAAGCTGGTGAGGCTGTGGAGCTGTTGCGTGAGCCCAAAGTTGAGGTGATTGAAGATTCCCCTGATCAAGGAAACAAGGGTAAATCCGTAATGGAGGTTACTCAGCTTCCTCGAAGTAAGAAGAGCAAGAAGAAGAAGATGGTGACGACTAGGGGCAATGATGATCAAATTGCAGAAGGACATTGTTCGTCTGCACAAGGGTCTGTGACCAAGTACTGCACTTTCACATCGTCGCATCCATTTTTCGACTACCGAATGACTTCGAGCAAGTTGAGCAGGTTGCTAATGGTAATGCTCGTATCTCTGCTTGTTTGAAACTTCTTTTACAATTCCAGATCAAACATGAAAGGTGGTGCTTTTGACATGGCTTTGCAGCATGTACCACGAAGCTTTTCGTTAAGCCACATTGCAGGGGATGAGAAGTCGGTGAAGCTTCAAGTTGGGGATAAAACTTGGTCAGTGGCATTGCATCGATACAGGGATGACAAGTATGTGTACTTCCGCAATGGCTGGGATCGATTTGTAGGGTTTTGAATTTTCTCGTTTACATATGTGAAACGAGATATATGATAACGAATGGTTTTAACTTTTAATTATGATGTATTCGGTATTAAGATCATTGAACTAAAAAAAAATCTTGTGTACATGATCAATCCCAATCGTGGGTTGTGGAAGGACCCTAGAAAATTGTCATGTTCAACCCCCTACTCTTACAAAGTTATTTTCTCGAATGTCCTCATTTGAATTTCTATTCAATCGAACATATAAAAAAAAAGCGCATACATTTAGACTTATAATAACGATTACAATCACAGTACCTAAAGAACAGCCAAAAAAGAGTCTGCTCCGCCGGCCATCATTCAAAACCCTAAATCCTCTCACCCTATATAACATCCCTTGAACACACACAACAAGCAAAATAATTTTGCTATGTGGTCTGGATTAGTCTTCCCTTAGCCCCCTCTCCATCCACTCCCATCCATAATAATAATATTACTAGCCCTCCCCTAGGGTTACCTTGCCCTGCAATCCAAAACATTATACAGGAACAGGACCAAAACCAACCCTCCCTCAGGGTATCTAGCTAGCTAGTTACCTCCATTTTCTGGGCTACTTTCATAATAACAATATTATCTCATACATCTATTCTTTTTTTTCATCAGAAGAATGACCTTTTTGTAGGAGCTTTCCCAACAGCTCTCATCAGATTGGCCACCTCCAGAATTCTGGCAACTTTGGTCCCTCTCTTTGCCTCTGCAGACGCCCTCCTCTCCTCTGCTTTCCTGCGTGCTTTCGCCACCTTGTTCTGCATCTTCTCCACTGCCCTTGCCCTCCTCTCCTCCAGCTTCCTCTGCACATTATTTCATTTTTTTTTCCTCAAGCAGATGAAAAATGCAAAACTTCGGTGCATGCATGTCGCGCAGTTCGGTTTTACAATCCTTGTTAATGTGTCTAGGTACATTTTTACAGTTGCGTGTGCGATCTAAATATCTAGATGATGATAGATTTAGAATTGATTGCGTAAAATTTTATGAATATGTATGAGACAAGTGACATTCGTTTACAATTACATCAAATCAAGTTGAGAAATCTAAAAATTGAATTAGTCCATGAAGACAAAAAAAAATTGAGGAGAAAAAAAACAGTGTTTAAGTGTCCAACACGGATTAAATTCCTAACCTTTATTATCTAGAATACTCATTCAGTGCTTTAGACTTTTCAGAATCTTGTCCTTTTTTTTCCTTTGTACATTTCCTTTTTCTTTTTATGGGGGGCATAACGGGTGTATATTATCAAAGAGATTAGCGAATAACTACAAAACAAATTATGGATTAGCTGGGAATTTTGACGTATGAAACTTTAGGTTTAGGTCTAACTAATTAAACACTTGACATCAAACTTCCCCTATTTTGTCCATTGTTCATAATTCACTTGAAACATAATAACATCCAATGGGAGAGTTGATTAAAGATTAAGCAAAACCATCTCTTCCCAATACAATCAACTGCCATCATCACATCTTGCTTAGCACACTAATTTTTGCTAAAACTACGCACAAACTGTTAATTAACTAACATGGAGGAAAGTAATTAATCATCAATTTAATTTACCTCGACCTTCTTCATCCAAGCATTAGCCTTCTGCACTTTCTCATTCTCCCACCCATTAATGATGGCTTCGTCCCTCTTCAGCCTGTTGTTCACTCTCGCAATCTCCTCGTTCTGCCACGCGCCGATCTTCGTCTCCACTTCCTCCTTCTGCACTCTCCCCACCGTTGACACTCCTTCCCCGCCGCCGCTCACCGGCGCCACCTCCGACGATGACGTGGACCCTCCCCTCCCCAGCACCAGCAGCGGGTTGCGGTCCGGGACGATCGCCAGAGGGTTCGTCTCCGCCACGTCATCGTCGTCGTCCTCCCCGATCCTCGCCAAGTAGTTGCTGTCGTCGTCGCCCCCGGCGGCGACGGCGGAGCCGGCGAGGACGAGGGCGTTGAATTCCCTGCTCATGGTGGTGAAGTTCTCGCTGGAGGTGGTGGTGGCGGTGGTTCCGAGCTCGCCGCTGCTGAGCGACGACGAGCGGTGGCTGCGGGCTCTCCCAGGCGGCGGCGGCGGAGGGGGGCGGGGCGGGGTCAGCGCGTAGATGTCACGTATCGTGACTTGGGTTTCGTTGTCGTCGTCGCCGTCATCGTCGTGGTGGTGGTGGTCGACATCGGCTCCTCTGCGAGCAGAGGAGGAAGAGGCGGTGGCTATGGTGGCCGGAGGGGGAGCGGCGGCGGCGGAGGAGGAGGGGGCGGTGCGGCGGCTGTTGTTGAGTCGCTGATTGGATGTTGAGAACATAGGGCGGGGCAGTGAGGGTGTTAGAGTGAAGATAGGTCTCCAGAAGAGGAAGGGGGGAAAGTAGGTAATTAGGTGTTTTTATAATTTTGGAGCATGGGATTAGTAATGGGAATGAGAATGAAATCCACAGAAAAAAAAAATGAGATACTTAATTAATTAAGGTGTTTTATTCTCACAAAAAAAAAGGTTTTTTTTTTGTCCCTTTCTTCTATGAGTTAAAAATTAAGTGGTGTTCGTGTGGTAATAGATAATATGAATTTTTTTCACGAAATATTTTTGAAAATGACATCATTTTGTAGGTCACAAAGAATTTGTTTTATCTTTAAAAAAATGTTGAGAAATTCAAACTAAAACAAAGAAGATACGAACACATAAAAAAAAAATCTTTTAATCCCGCTCCTTAGATTTGACTCCACATAAGATCAATGGATTGAATATGGTTATACATAAGTGCAGAACAAGAGATTATGCACCCAACCCTGGACCCGGTAAAATGGAAGTAAAATAACAAAAACAAACACAAATCATTGGCAATTAGTTTGAGAATTTTCAAAGAAAATGTCATATGGGTAGGAATAAGCATGGCATGTTTCCAATCTTTTGATCAAATATAAAAGAACATTCGTAATAGATGTCACAAGAATATACTAACTGGAGTACCTTTTTTTCGTTTTTACTCATCGTATATCACAACCATTTAATTATAAATCGGACGATGAAGAAGGCGTTTACACGTTGCTTATGTTAGATATCTAATTCACCAAAGTAGTTAAATTCGTGAAAGCAAACCAAATGAAGACATTGAAATATGATTCCATCCATTAATTGCATGCTTTAAACAATTTAGGATTTGTTTGGAAGTTGTGATTGTTATATAGATGTATTGTTGTGAATATATGTATATTAATTATCATACAGGTATTGATGAATTTGATTCATAGTAAAATACATCATTTGTTATTTGTGATTGTGTATGTCACATTAGCTACAAGCTGAGATAAAACAATTTCAACTCAACTATCTCGACAACCTCATCTAAAAGCCGATTTACAATAGTCTCTCATTTTGAATGATAGTTTCTGTGATGTGTATTGTGTCTACTAAAAAATATAAATAAAAATGATATTTTCTAAACAATCGCAACTTACAAACTAGCGGTTTGTCTATAAACTCACCAACACACATTCCCAGTGCCATATCTGATCCAGAAATAAGAAATTTGGTGAGTATATAGTGAAGTCAGATAGTACACAATCATTGAGTGATTCTGCCAATACATGCAATTACACGTATGCCTGAACATTCACTTCCATTTAATAGCTTAGCCTTCTTCAATCGAAAGTAATTGTAATTAAGGACTATATATGTAGCTACTCCAAGTCTAATTACATGAATATCGGTGAACCTATGTTGATATATATCATGCAATAGTCACATATGAACATCACAAATTAATTCATACTCTTATCACATTAAGAAAAGTTATGATTGTAACTTGATAACCTCTTACGGTCTTACCTCTACTATGCATTCCAATTGAACCCACGGAAAAGAGGTAATTTGGATATGAATCGATTTAGTTGGTTTTAATGCTTCACTATGAGAATTTAGTCAATTTACCATTAGAACACAAACATTTCACTCTCGAACGAATTAATTAGGTATCTAAATTTTTTCTTTTTCATTGAATCAGTAACTTTTATTGCTAATAAGAAACCGATACAACGAAGCGGGATCCCATGATCCCAAAGGGTAGAAGAACAAGCTCGCTAACTACCCCTTTTCCTTTACCAGTCTACTTACAGTGTAAGAACCAAAAAACTATAAGTATCCAAGTCCTGTAAGCCCATCACGAACTGCCATGTTTCCACGTGTTAGGAATAAAAGATCCGTCTTCATCACATCTGCTACTTTATCAGGAGAACGGAGTGGAGAACCATGAACCAAACCACATCTTTCCTTCCATAAAAATCCAATCAGAACACACCATACTAGTGCATGCCATTTCCCTACCTGAGTGTTGCTGCAGACTATAGCGCTCACAACATGTAACATCGCGTCCCAATCAGTATGTCTCAGCATCTGGCGATGCATCTGATTAGCAAGCTGGCGAGAGAAAGAACATTGGAGAAAGAGATGATCTCTAGTCTTAGTAACCTTCCCACAGAGAGGGCAGGAGGCATCTCTGATTTTGCCCCACTTCAACAGCTTGTCTCTTGTTAGCCTTTTTTTTATGACAATCCATGCTATTAAGCTATATTGAGGACGACAGACGCTGCTCCAAACAAGTTTATGCCAAGGAACCTTAGGAGCATTTCTTCTCAACGTCTCCCAAACTCTTCTTATCGAATAAACCTGCATCTCTTGCGAATCCCAAAAAATAGTATCATTCTGGATGTGAATCCATGGCAGTATAACAACTCTCAGCTTCAGTATACGCCGCCATGCCCAGGAACTGCTATATTGTACTACCAGAGACCATAAGTCACTCTGCTTGCATTTATATTCATACATCCATGCTACCCAAAGTGCTCCTGACTTCATGAGAAATAATCAAAGCATACGAATCGTGCAAGTCTGATGCCACGCAAGTAAGTCTTTCACTCCCAAACCACCCTCCTGTCTTGGCAGGGCAACCTCGTCCCGAGCCACTTTATCCTTACATTCATCTGCTCCAACATGTATCTAAGTTTTTATATACATGTTTATCTGATAATATCTAACAATTTGTACAAATAAAATTTATCGAATGACCAACACCCTCTCCAAATAACATATATGTAACCCTCAAACGAATTAATATGCAAATTGTTAACTATACCACTTAGGTTATAATAATTGGAGGGTGTCGGGTATAACTGAACCCTATTATTTGTGCACCCGGTACCACTTAACTTTAATGTTAGGTGCATTTCGTTAAGTTAACAGAATATTCTTGGAATATTCTGTTTTCTAAATTTCTTAATTGGTCCTTCTATTTTTCTTATTGTAAAAATCATTTTGACTTATGAAAACTATCAATTTTTATTATTTAGTTGGTATCCTCTTTTGAAGACTTGATACCAAATTAATTTTTGAATAAAAAATTTAGAATCAACTATCATTATAAGTATTTTCAATTATCATTATGTTTTCTAATAATTGAATTATTCTCTAAAGCAAATATATCCTATGAATTCTATTTAGTTGGAATCCTCTTTTGAAGACTTTGATACCAAAACAATTTTTGAATAAGAAATGTAAAATCAATTATCATTATAAGTATTTTCAATTACCATTATATGTTATAATAAATTAATAATTGAATAATTTGTAGAAGCAAATATATATTATGAATTCTATATCGATATAAATAATATGAGGATGTTATATTTAATTCTCGTACATCATGCTGATGTTGTATAATTTTTTATGTTAAAAATCCTTGTAATTTTCTAATATTATATTTTAGAAGTTCCATATTAAATAAATTTACTAATTTTAATTATCTTCCTGTAGTCGTATTTTTTTCTAGATTTGTTACGGAATGTTGTAGATTTTATTTATTTGTTACTTGGTTACTTCCGTTCTCTTTTCATTCTAAATTTTCTTCAATTACTGGAATATGTTTAATTCTTTCTGACTGTGTTCCATTTATCCTTCTTTGGTCTTGATGTATTGATGATCGATTATGTTCTATTTTAACTATTTTTAATAGTACTTCTAATTGGATTAGCAATTTAAATAGATCTTCTAATATTGATTTTAAATATTTATTCTTCTTCTTGATATTATTTTATTTTTACTAATTTATCTATTTTATTGACAATTTTGATTAGTCATTTTAGTAATATTATGTTTAGAAGATTTTTTTTAATTTCTATATTAGATAAAAGTTGTTGAAATATAGTTTTGGATGTTTTTAAAAGTTTTGGGTACCAAAAAATAATAAATTTTTTGGGTTGGATGGAAAACTAGACGGATGCACTTTTTGGCGACTTTAATGGTACCCGACGCCCTATTCAAACTTAAATGGTATGTCCGCCTCAATTCTCAAACTTAAGTGGTACCCGAGGTATTTTACCCTCCATTCTATAATATCAATTTAGAGGTTAAAATTGAAGATGTATGGTTGGAGTACTTCAACAAACATATACAACTCCACTTATAACCCTAAACCCAAGTAGATTACTTGCATCATATTTCACTGTGGAATTGTGATAGACCAACCGCTGTGATGAGGCAGAGATTTGAAGTGTCGGTCAAACGGATGCAGGATTTCAAATTTCATGCATCCAGAGTGAAAGTAGGAAGGACATTTTGGTCTTCACAATTATTTATTTATTTATTTATTAAAAAGACACTTACTAGGATTCGAACAATGACCACTTTAATGAAAAGCAAAGATCATAATCAATCACACTAAGTACATTTCTTGTATCTTTTTAAATTAAAAACATATAATCGTGGAGAGGAAAAAACCCTTCCCCCATTTCAAATTCCCTGCTCTAGGAGCGCTTGTAGGAAGGGTAAAATAGGGAGTGTCAATTTTTTTCTTTTTCCTCTGTGGAACGGGCCAACTTACCGTACACATGCGGATTTAAACGGGTCCTGAAGTGTCAATCTTTTTTCTTTAAGTTCTTTTATTTCTCCGTGGTGGTAAAATATATATGAAAAGACACAAACAATTCTCCTTTTTATTTCTAAAAAGAAAAAAAAATAACAATAAACTAATACATGGATTCTAATGGGCTAACCGCTAATCATAAAATAAAAGAGTTGAATGGGCCTGACCTACACGGGATTTGCCCATCAATTAAAACAAATGAACATCATGGGTTTGCTATTCTAAAACAAGCTATTTTCTCTAGCATAATATATATTATGCTATTATTTTATATCTTAGTGGCTAAAATATAATGTATTTTAAAGTTATTCAATGGTTCAACCTCGACCAACCCAATTAGTCCAATTTTTATCATTTCAAATATATATTATGTAATTATTTGATATCATAATGATTAAATTATAGTGTATATTATAGGGAATCGTTTGGTATTTGTTAATAAAAAACTAA